TTTTTAGTCTTCCCAGCTAGCCTCAGCAAAAAATGCATTTTTCTCCCTCAAAAAAATCTACATTTTTTACGGCCACGACTTTTTTCAATTTTAGGGGCACGCCCCATACAAAAAAATTTAGCTTCTCGTTAATGGTGGTACTAGTGTTCATTTTGGGACTCTTGAAGGAGGAGAAGTAATGATTATGAATTATGAATACCACTTTTTAGTAATGTCATGTTAGATTGTTAGACTGTGAAGAGAATACGGTTGATCATATTGCTGAACAAAGGTACCAAATAATTATGGATTAATGGGATTTGAAATTCTATTTAACCATGTTTTTGAAACATGATCGATAATGAATGATCGCACGAGTTTAATTAAATTGTTGATTGGAATAAAGACACCAGTATGTGCAACAAATTTGCTGCATTTCGTCTAGTAAGTTGAAGCTCTATTTATGTGTCGTATATTTACAACGTGTTGAAGATCTTAAATATTCGATTGGAAATTTGAATAAAGGATACGAAGTTGAAATTTAGTATGAATATTTAAAGTATCTCAAATCATCTCATGTTGATCTTCATCTACTTTTCCTAAACAAACTATAATTACCATTATCTACGTTAAACCTTGATCTACATCATGTCAAATCAACAAGAAGTTATTGAACAACAAATCAATACTAAAATTGAAATTGATAATCCAAATGGTCATCAAATTAAATATGATGGTGAAGCAAGATTAAACAGATATGCTAAAAAAAAATCAATATCTGATATCTTCACAGTTATTGCTTCAGGTGTTGCATTAATCTCTGATGGTTATCAAAATAATTTAATGACAATGTTAAATGCCTTATTTGCTCAACAATACGCAAAAGCATATACTGGTGATATGAAAACCGCTGTATCAAATGCTCTTTTAGTTGGTGAAATCTTGGGTCAATTTGGTATTGGTATTACATGTGATTATATGGGTAGAAAAGCTGCAATTGTTTGGACTACAGTTATGATTGTTATTGGTTCAATCATGGCAACTGCAGCTAATGGTGTTACACATACTGGGATGTTTTGGATGCTTGTTGTTTCAAGAGGTTTAATTGGTGTTGGTGTTGGTGGTGAATATAGTGCATGTTCAAGTGCAACTTCTGAAGCTGCTAATGAAACTACAAAGAAAAGGGGTAGAATTTTTTGTCTTGTTACAAATTTACCATTATCATTAGGTGGTCCTTTTGCTATTATTGTGTTTTTGATTGTTTTGAGTGCTGCGGGGGTTAAACATTTAGAAGTTGTTTGGAGGGTTTGTTTTGGGTTAGGTATTATTTGGCCAGTTAGTATTTTCTATTTTAGATACAAGATGGCTGCATCACATTTATATAAAACTTCAGCAATGAAGAAAAATGTTCCATATTTATTAGTTTTAAAATATTATTGGCCAAGATTATTAGGTACTTGTGGTTGTTGGTTTATTTATGATTTTGTTACTTTCCCAAATGGTATTTTTTCATCAACAATTATTGCAAGTGTTTTAGATGATACAAAAGATTTGAAAAAAGTTGCAGAATGGACTTTATTATTAACAATTATCGCATTACCAGGTGTTATTCTTGGTGCATTAGTTGTTGATAAATGGGGTAGAAAATATTGTTTAATGGTTGGGTTTTCAGGTTATTTAGTTATTGGTTTAGTTATTGGATGTGCTTATAACAAGATCAAGGAAATTACACCATTATTTATTATCTTTTATGGTATTTTTAATAGTTTTGGTAATTTTGGTCCTGGTAATTGTATGGGTTTAACATCATCTGAAAGTTATGCTACACCGGTTCGTGGTACTTTATATGGTATTTCAGCTGCAATGGGTAAAGTTGGTGCTGCAGTTGGTACACAATGTTTCACCAAGATTCAAGAAAACTTGGGTAAACAATGGACTTTTATCATTGCTGCTATATTGGGTTCTGTTGGTGTTGTATTAGCATTTTTCACAATTCCACATTTAAAAGAAGATGATTTATTAATGGAAGATATCTTGTTTGAAAAATACTTGAGAGAAAATGGTTATAAAGGACAAATTGGTTTACAAGATGGATCTTCAACTACTGATGATTATAGTTCTGTGGAAAGAATCACTATTGATGAACCATTAAAGAATGATGATTCTCGTAAAACATCAATTTGAGTACCTTTATAACTCAGTTTTTGCTAGTTTTATTCCACTTTTGTTTCATTTTTAATAAAAAATTCGTTTTAATTTCAATCATTTGATCTTTGAATCTTGTAGTCTAATTTAATTGATCTTTGAATTGATTTTATGGTATAAGCCATGTCGGTTATATTGGGAATCGCGGTTTCACGCGAATTTATTATATAACAAAAGAAGTATCGCCTCCCTATATCAGTAACCAAATTTGCTATCAACGTCAATCAATTAACCACAATTCATTCCCTTAAGATGGTCAACGAAAGATCACCTTTAATGAATTCAAATTCGTTCAACAAGAACATCAAATTCCTGTTAATCACTGCGTTAGTCCTACTAGTTACAAGACAATTATTCTTCATGTCAGAACCAGCAGGAAAAGAAGTTAATTTTAAAATCTATAATCAAAATATTCGTTATGATAATAAAAATGCTGATGGCAAGGGTGAAAAACCATGGAATATTAGAAAAGTAGAAATTGCTAAATCTATTCAATACAATAGTTTTAATACAAAGACTATTATAACATTACAAGAAGTTTTGAAAAATCAATTGGATGATTTATTAAAATTATTGAATGAAGGTACTGAAAAGGAAGGATTAGAACCAAAATGGACTTATTATGGTGTTGGTAGATCTGACTGTAAGACTAATGGTGAATATTCACCAATTATATATAACAAGGAAGATTTTAAACTATTGGATTCTTCAACTTTTTGGTTAAGTGAAACTCCAAATGTTCCAGGTTCAATCGGTTGGGATGCAAATCAAGAACGTATTGTTACATGGGCTCATTTAAAACCTCAATGGGGTGAAGCTATAAATATTTTTAATACTCATTTGGATCACTTGGGTAAAAAATCTCGTGAAGAATCTGTTAAATTAATTGCAAATAAAACAAGATCTTATAATGAAGATATAAGTTTTATCACTGGTGATTTTAATTCAGAACCAAATGAAGAAGCTTATCAAACTTTACAAAAGATTTTCAAAGATTCAAGATTACATAACGATGTTAAATATGGATTTGATAATACATTTACTGGGTTTGATTCTAAATCAAGACATAAAGTTATTGATTATGTCTTTATTGATCCAAGATTAGATAGTGTCAAGGGATTTGGAGTTTTAGATAATCATTTTGATGGAATTTATTCAAGTGATCATAGACCTGTTGTTGTTGAAATCACTGTTTGAACTTTGAACCTTTGAACCCACTTATGAATTAACGTTTTTATAAAAATTTACGAGATATACTACTTTTTTTAGTTCTCGGGTTGTAGATATCACCGATATATCAGATATGGAGATGAACATTATTAAACAATCAGATATGACTGAGCCCTCATAACATGGTACCTCAGTATCCAAGCACTAGAGGCTAAATCACATCGGTTAAGTATCAATTGATTCTCTATATAGTTTCTCGTTTTTCTTGAGTTTCATTAGCTATTATGTCAACCCCGTTAACTTCGACTTTAGGTAAACACCCATTAATGCATCACACCAAATTTTGACTTTAAAACCCAAGAAAAACTTTGAATTTATATAAACAATAAGAAAGTATTTGGAACTTGATCTTTTATCATGTATTATACTATGTAGATATCATCAAGTCATTCGTTATGTTACTTTCCACTCTTTTAACAACAAGTTTTTTCACTTTAATCAGTGCAAAAGCAAGTGCTTTACCAGATGCACATGCTTTAGGTTGGGCTAAAGCAAATCCTCAAGCTGAAGCTGCTGCTCAAGCCTATGCTGATGCTTATGCTGAAGCCATTGCTTTAGCTCATCCAGATCCTCAAGCTTATGCCCTAGCTGCTAGTGCTGATGATTGTGCCTCATTAGGATGTCATGCTGCTTGTGGTTATTTAATCTTGGATGGTGCTGCATGTTCACAAAATGAAACTGATCAATATTCAGGTCCTTATAATGAAACTTGTCTTTGTTCTGAGGATAGTCATTTCATGGATAGATATCCTGGTTGTATGGAATGTGGTTGGACTTTATGGAAATATTATGGTCCTTATGTTACTCAGGCTTTAGAAGCTTGTTCCACATTATCAACAGAACCAACTGGTACCTTAAGATGTTCCACTACTTTAAGTGAAAGTTATACTAAGGATGCTAATGCGGGTTGTGCTTATGGTGGTTCTTGTGTTACTTCAAGTTCAGAATCTGGAAACAATGCTACTGCTACTGGTATTGTTTCTTCAAATAATGGTACTTCAAATGGTACAAATTCTAATGGAGGTTCTAGTTTGACTTCAAGTGGAGGTGCAAGATCATCAGATGCTTCAGCTTCAGCCTCTAATTCAGGTCCAGAATCATCAGGCTCATCTGGTTCAAGTGCCTCTGGTTCAAGTGATTCATCAGCTTCTAGTTCTTCAGGTTCTTCATCAGCTTCAAATGGTGCACCAATCTTAGTTGCTGGTACTTCAATCTTTGGTGGTTTATTGGTCGCTCTTTTGATCTAGAATAAGCCGAACTGTATAGAACCATAAAACAATACCATTTTTAAATAATCACTTTTAATAAGTTCCAATTTTTTCTTGTTTTTTATTAAAATTTTGTAAATTGAATGTGTCAAAAATGTTTGTTTATATGGTAAATTTTCGCGACCATCTGTTCATATATATTGTTTACGCGTTTTGAAATATATGAAACAAAACATAAACAAGAACGACAACCGCTAATACTGAGAGCTAACAAAGACAATGTCTGATAGATCGGATGCCACTATTGTGCTGGACCTCGCATGGAGACAGATTGATAAAAAGAACGAAGGATTTGTGAGTATTTCTGGTTGTTTTGGATATATGATTTTTATATACTAACAGTGATTCAGATCTATGGAAGAGATTTCAATCTGTTATTTGATGCTATAGATTCTCTTTTGAATGCCAAAATATTGAATTCATCAGGTCGTACCATTGTCAAAGATTTTAGTAAGACAGAACCACATCATAAGATTAATAAATCTGCTTTCAAATCATTATTTAATTCATTATTGGGGACTTCTTTTAATAATGCACTAGAAGCTATAACTTATGATAAAACTTTATTGGAATTAGAAAAAGGTGATGTTTCAATATTACCAGATATTCCTGTATTAACTTCAACTCCTGTTAAAAAAGAACCAGAGGACAAATTCAAGCCAAATTTCAAGACTGAATATTCAAAATTGAAAAAATTACATGATAATAGTGAAGATGAAATTAAATTTAGAGATGAATATATTGAAAAATTAGAAAAAAGGGAAATTGAATCAGAAGATTCCACAGTGAAATTAAGATCTCTTGTGAAGAAGATCTCAAATTTAGAAAATGAAATTACTTATAGAGATGAATTAATTATTAAATTCCAAAATGAATTAATTAATGAACAAGAAAAGCATAAAAAATCTCAAAATGTTATAAAACTTATGGAGAATGAAATTAAAGAACTTCGAAACTCTTCAAAATCGAGTGATCCTTCTTCCTCCTCATCATCATCATCATCATCATCATCAAATTCCAAAATATTTATTAATGCCCTACAAGAACGAATTTCTAAACAACAAATTGCTATAAATCATCTAAAATCAACACTTCAATCTAAATCAGAAATCATTACAAAAACACCAATAATATTTTCCACTCCGAACAATACCTCCAAACCAGAACAAATGGAAGGATTATCCAAAATATGGAGATTGGTATCATACTTATTAATCATATGGTTAACTATATATACATTCATCAACCTATACTTCACAGGAGATCCATGGTATAAAGATTCATTTTTAGAAAAATATTTAGAACCAATTATATTAGAATCTCAAGTATTAAATTGGGATAATTTATTAAATATAAAACCTAATTTAAATGATGAAGATTTAAAAATAATGGAAATTTTTGAAATATTATAATACAATATTATTAAAATTAAACAAATTGGGGTGTTATATAGTTATACATGAGGAAGACAAAAAAACGAAAAAAAGCATGAAAGGGACTCTAGATTTTATAAAAACTTTGCTTTTAATAATATATTTAATGAATTATGTTGAAATTAGAATTGAACTTTTGGAATATTGTAGTATTAATAGTATTAGAAGATTGATTGATTATGGTTATTTATTAACAAATTGACAGATTAAACCAAAAACAGCCTTTGCAATCTTGACATAAAGACCATTATTATTATTATTATTATTATTATTGTTATTGTTGTTGTTATAGTTTTGATTTTGTTGTTGATAACCACCTTGGTTGAAATTATTATTATTGTTATTATATTGTTGTTGATATTGTGGTTGTTGTTGTGGATGATACGCATTTTGTGGTTTATTTGGTTGTTGATCAACTCCTGCACTAACTTGTTGAGCAGAAATTGGTTCAATATTTGTCCAACTTGAAGGCAATCTTGCACCTTGTAATTCAATAACTAACACACCAGTGTTTTTTTGATCAATATAATTTTCAAAACCAGCTTCATCACATAATTCTTCAATTGCAGGTTTTAATTTTGCAACACCATTTTTGGAATGTAAACCTTTACCTACAATAACTTCTAATTTAGATTCATGTCTTTGAACACCTGCCACGATTCTTCTTTTTAAAATCCATTGAGCTTCTTTAACAAATAATCCATGTAAATCAATTTCATCACCATCACTATCAGCATTATTAGCTAAAAATACATATTCAGCAGCTTGGAAATTATATTTATCAGCAATATCAACTTGTTTTTTAGCAGCTTCTGATAATTCATGAGCTTTTTGTTTATCTCCAGATTTATAAGCTTGTTGAGATTGTGATGATAATTGTTGTTTCTTTTTAAATGCTTGATCAGCTAAATCACGAAGTTTTTTATATTCATTATCTGAAACATGATTATAATCACGTTCACCTCCATTTTGGAATCCTCTGTCTAAAGTAGCAGCAGCACTCATTCTTTATATGCTTCCCAATATATCTATCAAAACCTCCAAGTAATGTAAAGTTAAAATCTTATAAAAGGGTTTAATAATTCTCGAGAATATGCATTTCATAAATTTAATTTAGTACCTGAAATTCTGAAAAGTAAACAAATTGATAACGGCTGGCTGGTTTCTTTCCTTGGAAGCCCTAAACATAACTTCGCACGTGTGCTCATGTGACCATGTGAGCCCTATCATGTGATATATGACAATGGTGTTCTGATGCTAAAGTCACATAAAAACTACAGATTTTATAATTTTTTTTTATTTTCACAACTGGTGTTTGGATGGAGGTGTTGAAAAAATAAACATGTATAAAACTTGAAAAATTATTCTATTGAATTATACTTTACCTTTAATAATATATCATCAACATTAGTATCGATCCAAAATGGCTAAATCAACTCCAAAACAGTAAGTTATTACAACTATTTGATATAACAATTCATTGTTATTTTGATACTTTACCACTCAATGAAGAATGGAAATTTTTATGGATAATAGATATTGATATTCAATATTCTTGATTTCTTGAAAATTTCAAAATTCTACTAATCATCATGAATAATCTTGGTAAAACTTGGTTTTACTCTTGATATATCATGTGTTTTATACCTCATTACAATAACTTTTCATAGTTAGTTGTTTTCGAGTGTTATTCTCAACAATTTATCCCTCTGAATTTTTTTAAATTCAAGGATTTTGTTGTAAAGGCATGGATTTTCATAGGATTAACAATCAACCTTGAATACCAATCATGATTGTTTGATTACTAGATTTTCTCTGACCTTAAATTAGTTATAGGATTCAATATTGATTATTTCTATTGAAAAACTTGTCTAATCTTGTTTTTTCAATTTGAATAGATTTGAATCCCCACCTAACATTGAATGAGTGGTATCATTTCAATGAATTTTTACTATCATAAACAAACATTATTAAGTATTTGTATGCTAACTTTCTTTTCCTTAGAGTCATCACTGCTGAACAAATCTTAGTTCCAGAATCTCAATTAAAGAGATCAACTGCTGCTGCTAAATTATCTGAAAAAGCTGCTGCTGAAAAAATTGCTCGTAAACAAGTATGTTGAACTCAACCTTTTCTATATTTTGACAAGAGAAATTTTTAAATAATTCATTGTGATGAAGACCTACCATTTTTAATCGACTAGCTACGGCTATGATGTCTGTTTAGTTAACCATCTTTCGGGACTGAAACGGATAAAATAAAATTTTCTCTTGATCAAACAAACTCTACTTTGATCTAAAGTTACTAACAAGTTTATCAATAGGCTAACAAAGAAAAACGTGAAGCTTTATTAAAGAGAACTGCTGCTTACCATCAAGAATACGTTGATGCTGAACGTGCTGTTATCAATGCTAAACGTGAAGCTAAAGCCGCTGGTTCATACTATGTTGAAGCTCAACATAAATTAGTTTTCGTTGTTAGAATTAAAGGTATTAACAAAATTCCACCAAAACCAAGAAAAGTTTTACAATTATTAAGATTATTACAAATCAATGCTGGTGTTTTCGTTAGATTAACTAAAGCTACTGCTGAATTATTAAGATTAGTTGAACCATACGTTGCTTATGGTTATCCAAACTTATCAACCACTAGACAATTAATCTACAAACGTGGTTATGGTAAAATCAACAAACAAAGAATCCCATTATCTGACAATGCTATCATTGAAGCTTCATTAGGTAAATATGGTATTGCTTCAATTGAAGATTTAATCCATGAAATTTACACTGTTGGTCCAAATTTCAAACAAGCTAACAACTTTTTATGGCCATTCAAATTATCCAATCCATCAGGTGGTTGGGGTGTTCCAAGAAAATTCATTCATTTCATTGAAGGTGGTTCTACTGGTAACAGAGAGGAATTCATCAATGCTTTAATCAAAAAACAATTATAAGTTGTTTAAATATTAAGGTGTTTGAATGTTTATTTTCTTTTAATGTTTTAAATCAAGTTTAATTTAAGTAAAATGTTGTATATTTATTAAAAAGAACTTTTATTTACTTGGTTTTTTTATGTGGATTTTTTAATTTTTTGTATATTAATATGGTTTAACGGGTTTATAATTTGGAAATTGCATTGATTGTAAGTGTTTTATAACTCGATTAAACCATGTTTACTGCGGTGTAAATTGTGTACTTTTCTACCTATAGAAGTTATCATAGTCTTTTGTTAAATTCGCGGGTTAATTTACTGATACTAAAACTCATACACTATTTCAATGAAACATCAACAAATTATTCAAACGTAATTCTTCGACAAATTAATTAGCTGTTTTATGAAATGGTTTGTGCTACATACAATGATTGGTACTTCAAGGATTGAGTCCTTTTAGTATATTATAAGAATTCAATTGGTATGACTCAACTTCAAAAAGTATTCAACGATTCAAAACAATTAATTTTTTATTTGATAAAGAAAATGAAGAATTAGCCGCTGAATATAATAAGAGATCCTTCTCCTAAAAATTGAACATGATCATGGAACTGGATATCATATTGCAGGAAATTATGCTGTTAGCTGCCTTCTTTGGTTTTATGGGTTGAAGCTTTTGATGTTGAAGAACTGTTGGTAGATTTAGTTGTGTTGATATTGGATAATGATTAAATATTGATATTTTGATGAATGGAAAAACTAGATGATAAAGAAACCAAAATGATATGGTATTGGTGCTTAATTGAATTTATATTGCATGGTTTAAAAGTAACACCTCTGAATGTTGTAAGGAGTTTGAAGCCTTTTGTTTGGTTTGAATATAATGCAAAATGGTATAAGTTATGATTTGTTAATTGGATACAAGTACCTTTGTGAAATTAAAATACAAATAATTTTGAAGTTTTTTTTAGGTATATTGATTGTTATATATTGGTATGAGTTACTGCTTAAACGAAGTGTTGTTTTCTTTCAGAACTTTATAAGTTTCAATCAGATCATATTATAAGGCATTTTGATAATCAAAGGATTGATTAACAAGAATGATAAACATATCCTCAAGGCTAAAATATTAATGTTATAATTTTGTGATATTGAACAGATTAATAGTAGTGATCTAAATTGAATATACCCTGATTGAATATGGATTTTAATGCCAAACAACAAAAAGATATAATCCACAAGATCAACAAATCCATTCAAAAGAAACGGTTTTATATGTAAAGAAGAATAAGAATCAATAGATGTACTAATACGAAATACCGTTATTATACGAAACATGTGATTAGCATATAACTTTTGCAAAGATTTACCGATCGTTAATGTAACATGTGGTTAACCATTAATTCAAATCAAATTTTCCATTATAATCAAGGGTTGCAAAGAAGTTTAATCATCAAAAAGAAATCAGATCATGGCATTAATGGAAGAAAAGATTTGAATAAAGTTTATGAACATATGCTTATTATTACATGTAATTATGATTGTATTGGATGGATTGACAAGCCATCAGAATCATAATGTTTGAAACGTTTTCAATGGTTGTAAAAGGAAAATGGTTGTCTTTATCCGGTGAACAACGAACGTGTGAAATAATGAAATAATCTACGATCGATCAGCATGGTGAGTAAGGTACGCTATATGCCCATACTCTTAAATTGGTGCTGTACTATAATCATTGATGTATAATCTTAATATTACTACACTAGTACTACCAAGATACCAAGAAGTGTCAAAGTAATTAAGCACCAAGAGTCCAATAGTATTCCAATTTCCTATGTCTAACGATGATTACTTGATAACTACTCTTGATGCTCAACGGACCCTTACAACTTGCAACTTGCAACAAATCAATTAAAACTCGTAAAGAATATTGTTCAAGTTCAAATCCACGTGTTTCAATTTAAATTCCCATTTCCATCAAAACGTGCTCGAATTCGGTTTTTTGTCTTGTGAGCCCAGAGTTGAAAATGAAAAAATTAAGAGCGGTACAAAAATTACTTAGCATTTAAGCCAAAACCAAGACTAAACCAAGCCATTAAGAAACGGTAACGGTAATTAAAAAGTATGATCAAGGGGCAATGAATAGGTAGAGAACCTATATCTTAATGGCTCAAAAGTTAAAACTAGTTCAATCAGAGTTTTCCCTGGAGTTCTTTTGCTTTTCAATTAATGGGGAATTGACAGTATTAGATTGTGTGTCTCTAGCTTAATCTATCCCACGTGCATACAATCTAATATGCAACCAATATTCAAACAACAAAAATAATAGTAAATGGCTGTTGAACGGTTATTTCTTTTACTCAAATTTAATACTCGTGCTTTATGACTGCCTGATGCCCAGAAAATTATTGACGGCCTTTTGATATTTTCAATCTATTATAAAAGAATTTTAATATCCATAGATTTACAATGTTTGAATATATTACTCTTCTTTATCATTATAGATCCCAAATAGCTAATACAAAACATATATAACATTAATATGTCTGCTGAAAAGAATCCTGCTGAAGCTAATGTCAAGACTGCTGGTGGTAACGCAGCTTTCCACAATTATTTAAATGATTTCAGTCATATTGATGATCCTTTAGAAAGAAGAAGATTAGCTTTGGAAAAAATTGATCAAGCTTCATTTGGTTGGTATCATATTCGTGCAATTACTGTTGCAGGTGTTGGTTTCCTTACAGATGCTTATGATATTTTTGCTATTAATTTAGGTCTTGCTATGATTGCTTATGTTTATTGGGGTGGTTCAATTCCTTCATCAACTTCAACTTTATTAAAAGTTTCAACTTCTGTTGGTACTGTTATTGGTCAATTAGGTTTTGGATTTTTAGCTGATGTTGTTGGTCGTAAAAAAATTTATGGTTTAGAATTAATTATTATGATTGCTGCTACTATTGCTCAATGTGTTATTGGTACTTCTCCAGCTATTAATTTTACTGCTATTATGACTTTTTTCAGAATTATTCAAGGTATTGGTATTGGTGGTGATTATCCAATGTCTTCAGTTATTTCATCAGAATTCGCTACAACAAAATGGAGAGGTGCTATTATGGGTGCAGTTTTCGCTAATCAAGGTTGGGGTCAATTATGTGCTGGTTTAGTTGCATTAATTTGTGTTGCTGCTTATAAAGATGAATTAATTGTTGCAAATACTGCTAAAGAATGTACTGGTGATTGTATTAAAGCTTGTGATCAAATGTGGAGAATTTTAATTGGTCTTGGTTGTGTTCCAGGTGTTATCGCATTATATTATAGATTAACTATTCCAGAATCTCCAAGATATACTCTTGATGTTGAATATGATTTAGAAAAAGCTGCTGCTGATTCTGGTAAATTCTCTTCAGGTCAACATGGTAATGCTGATCAAGAAGCTGTTGAACAATTAAGAGTTACTGAACGTGTTACCGCTGAAGTTGTTCAACCACCAAAAGCTTCATTTAAAGATTTTACTACACATTTTGGTCAATGGAGACATTTCAAAATCTTATTAGGTACTGCTGGTTCATGGTTTATGTTGGATGTTGCTTATTATGGTTTAGGTTTAAACACTGCTACTATTTTACAAACTATTGGTTATGCATCATCTAAAAATGTTTATCATTCTTTATATAACTCTGCTGCTGGTAATTTAATTTTAATTTGTGCTGGTTCTATTCCAGGTTATTGGTTTTCTGTTGCCACTATTGATTTCATTGGTCGTAAACCAATTCAAATTGGTGGATTCTTTTTATTAACTGTTATCTTATGTATTATTGGTTTTGGTTATAACAAAGTTGGTGAACATGGATTATTAGGTCTTTATGTTATTGCACAATTTTTCCAAAATTTCGGTCCAAATACTACAACTTTTATTGTTCCAGGTGAATGTTATCCAACTAGATATAGATCAACTGCTCATGGTATTTCAGCTGCATGTGGTAAAGTTGGTGCTATTATTGCTCAAACCGCTTTAGGTACTTTAATTGATCATAATTGTGCTAGAGATGGTAAAAAGAAGAATTGTTGGTTACCTCATGTTATGGAAATTTTTGCATTATTTATGTTGGTTGGTTTATTTTTATCATTTTTAATTCCTGAAACTAAAAGAAAAACTTTAGAAGAAATTGCTGAAGAAGTTCATGGTGAAGTTGATCCATCAAAATTGAATAGAGCTGAAAAATATGAAAGTTCTGATGATCATATTGTTTAGATCTAGTTCTCTCAAAACATTACAAAATACAAAAGATCTTTGAAAGGTCTACTAATACAACATTATACATATACATAATTTGATTTTATATAAAGTTTAATCATTTCACTCTGGTTTTTAATAATTTAATGCGTTTTTATTTATGAATTTTATCATCATGTAGTTAAACTTCACCAGAATTAAAAGACTATTTTGGTCATTGATCAACTATCAGCTAATTGTTGTATTCAACCTTATACCATATTTATTGGTATGAGTATGAAGCTGCATGTATGGTTAGTGCTTTAGGTTTAAATATTTCATTAATGCCAGGAAAATGGGATAATTGGCAGGTAAAATTTTAACTAGACGTTGTATTTAAATGATAATTTATTGGTTATTATTGTTGTTTATGTACTGCAAATAAATTGATCACGTCTGCAAGGGAGATGCATGTAAAGTTGATTAATATCAGGTGAATTATAAGCTGATTTATTTATATATTAATATACTGGAAATTAGATTCATGAAGTTGAGCTTAATTGAAATAATTATAATGCAACACGTCGTGAAAAAACAGAAATTGATATAATTAAGCCATCTTAATATGGTTATAAAATTAGAATTTTAAACTTTAATCTTTTCTTAAGATTCATGTTCAACGCTTTTGTATACGATTAGTCTTACGAATATATATTACAGTCTATACATGCCAATATTGTAATTGATTAGATCAATTATAATCCCAAGCCCGATTTTATCTATATCTATAGTGATCGATCTTTCAAGAAGCTGTTATACTAGTAACGTCGATGCTATCAAACCCTTTTATAAGGAATTAATTAATTTGTTTTAATCTGTTACAATCATTTTTCACTCCACAACAAACGTGTCAAAACAATTTTATCAATGATCACCTTATCATATAATACCGTAATCCAACATTCATGAGTATCACCAATCACCAATCTATATTTTTGCCTAATCAGGTTCTTTTAAACCCTTTAATTTTTAAAAAGTCCCGTAATTGGACTTTGTGGTCTCGGAATGTCGGAATGTTGGATTATGATATTCTAGTCCGGGGTCTTGGAATTGTAGTCATCTTTTGGGGAAATCATTAAAACTTATACGTATAAAGTTATAAACAATGTTCATAACATGAAACTTGATCAGCTTGAAGTTTGGGGAAATGAATTGAAAATGATGATTCGTGTTAATGACGTATGCTTGAGATCTTGTGATTATTATATTAATTGTGTTACCATAGTTAAGTGTTCAGTGTTTTGAAATTTAGCCAATATATTATACGATCTTCAGTTACTTCAATAATTGAACAATGGTTTGATTGGGTATTATCAAAGCAATAATATACTGATAAACAATACTAAGCCAAAATGAGCAACACGTTTGGTTTCCTTTGACTTATCAATATCTACAAATCTTTTCTTGTCAAGCTTATATAAAAACATTGGATAACCAGCTTTGAATTTAGAGTTTAATGATTAAGTATATCATAATAAATAAAATCATATACGTATTGGATCATGAATAATCCATACATTTCAAATACCAATACTAATCAAATAATTGACATTGAGAAAAGAAAAAATCAAGATGAATCAAGTATAGCTTCATTAGCCGCTTTATCATCATCAGATAATAAAAATCAAATAGGTTCAATAACAACAATTCATACAACTCATAGAAGTTTAAATTCAAGAACAATAAATTAAATTGCAATTGGTGGATCTGTGGGTACTGCATTATTTGTATCTATAAGTGGTGCTTTATTAAATGGTGGTCCAGCAAATTTATTTATGGCCTTCACTATATGGTCTGGTGTAATATTTTGTGTTATTGCATCAATTGGTGAGATGGTTTGTTATTTACCAATAACTGCCCCTTTCATTCAAATGGCTGGACATTGTATTGATGAATCTTATGAACTTATCGTTGGGATGAATTATTGGTTAATGACTGGGATCTTGGTACCTTTTGAAATCACAGCAGTTAATTCAATGATTCATTTTTGGAGAGATGATTATTCACCTGTTATAACTTTTGTTTTACAAATTTTTTTATATTCATTATTAAATATATTTGCAGTTAAATATTTTGGTGAATGTGAATTTTGGTTATCCTTGGGGAAATTAATTTTAGCTATTGGATTATTATTCTTTACATTCATTACAATGGTTGGTGGTAATCCTCAGAATGATGCTTATGGATTTAGATATTGGCAAAATCCAGGTCCAATGGTTTAATATTTAACTAGTGGTACAACAGGTAGATTTCATGGATTCATGTCAGCTATGAATATGGCATGTTTAACAGTTTGTGGACCTGAATATTTAGCAATGGTTGCAGGTGAAACTGGTCAAGAAACTCGTAAAGTTTTATCAAAATCTTTCAAGACTGTTTTTTATAGATTAGCTGTTTTTTACGTATTAGGTTCATTATCAGTTGGTGTTGTTATTGCTTCAAATGATAAAACTTTAGTCAGGTTAGCTGCTGAAGGTGGTGGATCAAATGGTGCTTTTTTACCATATGTTATTGCAATGAATAATATGAAGATTAAAATCCTACCACATATTGTTAATGCTTTGTGTGTTACTTCAGCATTTTCTGCTGGGAATTCATATACTTTTTGTTCTACAAGATCATTATTAGCATTATCAAAAAATGGATTTGCACCAAAATTTTTACAATATTGTACCAAGAATGGTGTTCCTATATATTGTGTTGGTGTTACATTTTGCTTTGCGTTATTATCTTTATTACAATTAGGTGCATCAACTGGTAAAGTTCTTAGTTGGATAATAAATATTGTTGCAAGTGCACAAGTCTTGAATTATTGTATGATGTCTATAACATATTTGGGTTTTTGGAGAGCTTGTAAAGCACAAGGAATTGATAGATCAAAATTCAAATATAGATCTTGGTTTCAACCTTATACGGCAATATTTGGAATGATATTAACAGCATGTATGGTTGGTGCTATGGGATATATTTCATTAATGCCTGGAAGATGGGATATAAGTACTTTTTTAACAAGTTATTTGATGGTTTTATTAGATATTGTTGTTTATAGTGGTTATAAATTGATCAAGAGAACCAAGATGATTAAACCAGAAGAAGCTGATCTATTTACTGGACTAGATGAAGTTGAACAACATGAATTAGAATATTTAGAGCATCGTGAGAAATTAGGATTGGATTTGAATCCAAGTCTTTGGCAAAAAATATCTAATTGGCTTTTCTGACTTCTTTAGATTAATTCAATTAAAACTAATTAACTTTTTTCTTAATATACATTTTACTTATCAAGATAAACATCTTTTGGTACTTGTGAATAGGCTAAAAAGCTTAAAGTTCACACATGTTCAAGTGTAATTATATTATATGTACTGGAATATTATACGTTCGGAATACTATTACAACTGATATATATTATATAGCCTCTGTATCTAAACGCTTCCCTAAATGTCAAATATGTCCTGCATATCTTATCAGAAAGCAGCCTTATAGATAAACAAAGTACCTGAAAATTGATCAAAATTATGGATAAGGGTTTACATAAGCTGATACCATATTAAATTTACGCGGTGTCAACTTCAAGTTTACAAATTCTCATCTCTGAATCCTGATTCGCTGGGACTTTATATCAAGTACAAATCACAACCACGCATTTATACAGCAACACAACATTATCCAGAAGATTTCCATATCGGGTAAGCCATGGCACCATCAGCCTTCACGAATAACCATAAAATAAATGCTCATTACTTGACACACAACCCAGGATTACCATTGGCTGAACAGTGAACTATGAGTTTCCCTTTAGCAATGATGTAATATTTATCTTATCAAGCAGCATCATTTTCCAAAATTAAATTAAATCCCCAAATTTTCTGGACTAGCGCTAATTTGAGGGCTTATAATTTGAAGACTAGGCCGGGTCTGACGGAGTACTAAACTCTAATTGGTGCCTCAGCTAAAATTGTAAACAACCTGATACTGAGAATCTCATCATTATTATTACGAAACTATGTTGACGTTTTGAAGTAAGTGATCATCCATTAATTCCCATTTACGCCCTTCATCATGTTGGATATAAATATAAATACTCGCACAATTCCAGAGTTTCGGATTATTGCTCTTGGAACCCAAGAAACAAGAAAGTACATCTAAACAACTGAAAACTTAAAAGTATAAAACATATTATAACAATCCAACGTCATGTTCTCTTTCAATAGAAGACATGGGTCAAGTAATTCAAATTCTATTGATCTTGAAAAGGAAAAGAAACCAGAAGAGTTCAATGATCAATCCTTAAGAAATCTTAATTCATCAGATTCCCAAGGTGAAGAAGGTTCAGTCACTGCTATTCATACAACACATAGATCTTTGAATTCAAGAACTATAAATTTAATTGCAATTGGTGGGTCAGTTGGTACTGCTTTATTCGTTACTATATCTGGTGGGTTACTAAATGGTGGTCCAGCAAATTTATTCATAGCTTATACTATATGGTCATGTGTTATGTTTACTATTATTGCATCTATTGGTGAAATGGTTTGTTATTTACCTATAACTGCACCTTTTATTCAAATGGCTGGACGTTGTGTTGATGAAGCTTTTGAGGCTATCGTGGGGATGAATTATTGGTTAATGACTTCAATAAATATTGCTTTTGAAATCACTGCTGTTAATTCAATGATTAGTTTTTGGAGAGATGATTATTCACCAGCTATAACTTTTGTTTTACAAATTTTCATTTATACATTATTAAATGTCTTTGCTGTTAGATATTTTGGTGAATCTGAATTTTGGTTATCCTTGGGGAAATTGATCTTGGCTATCGGATTAATTCTTTTCACATTTGTCACTATGGTTGGTGGTAATCCACAACATGATGCCTACGGTTTCAGATATTGGAATAACCCAGGTCCAATGGTTGAATATTTAACTGGTGGTTCAATGGGTAGATTCCATGGGTTTATGGCTGCTATGAACAAGGCTGTTTTCACTTGTGTTGGTCCAGAATATCTTTGTATGGTTGCCGGTGAAACTGGTCAAGAAACTCGTAAAGTTTTAGCTAAATCTTTTAGAACTGTTTTCTATAGATTATTTGTGTTTTACGTTTTAGGTTCCCTTTGTGTTAGTGTTTTATTGGCTTCAAATGATGCAACTTTAGTTAAATTGGCTGAAACTAATGGTGGTTCAAATGGTGCATTTTCACCATATGTTATCGCAATGAATAATATGAAGATTAAAGTTTTACCACATATTGTTAATGCTCTTTGTGTCACATCAGCATTTTCTGCTGGTAATTCATATGTTTATTGCTCTTCAAGATCATTATTAGCACTTTCATATAATGGATTTGCACCAAAATTCTTACAATATTGTACCAAGAATGGTGTACCAATCTTTTGTATCGGAGTTTCATTCTGTTTTTCATTATTATCATTATTACAATTAGGTTCTTCATCAGGTAAAGCATTAACATGGATTGTTAATGTTACTGCATCTGCTCAAATTGCAAATTATTTCTTAATGAGTATCACATATATGGGTTTCTGGAGAGCTTGTCAAGCTCAAGGTGTTGATAAATCCACTTTTAGATATAGATCATGGTTTCAACCTTATACTATACTTATTGGTATGTTTTTAACACTTTGTATGGTTTGTGCATTTGGTTATATCGTCTTAATGCCTGGAAGATGGGATGTTGGTACTTTCTTGACAAGTTATTTGATGATTTTATTAGATGTTGTTGTTTTCATTGGTTATAAATTGATTAAGAGAACTAAATTTGTTAATCCAGCTGAAGCTGATATCTTTACAGGCATTGAAGAAGTTGAACAACATGAATTAAATTATTTAGAACAAAGAGAAAGATTAGGATTAGATGTCAATCCTTCTATATGGCAAAGAATCATGAACTGGATTTTCTGATTCTTCAATTGTATTATACAATGTTTTCAGTTCTTATATATATATATTATACACACATTTTTTAAGCATTTTATAGAGAATGGAAAAAGTTTATTTGTTATTTGAGATCTCATTATTGTAGATACAGTATACCATAGTCTCTAACTGGTCATCTAGTGTTAATAACCGCTGAATTATAAAGACTCCAAAGATCAAGACTTGAAAATAATTTAATATCGCCAATATTTGATCATCTATCTCGCCGTGACATCGGTATTTTCCAGATCACATATCTCAATAACCTAATTATAAGGTTGATCTTAATACTTGATTTTGATTTGTTGATGCTGAAACTGTAGAATATCAGAATAAGAATGATTTGAATAACTTGATTCCCCTGAACATCATTATCAAAATCATCAACATTTAAGTTTGATTCTTTGAACTCATCAATAGTAATGGTGGACCGTAAAAGTGATTAGCTTATCAATGATCGGAAATTTGATAGATCTCCGAAACAAAATTACTGGATTTTTGATTCACCGTAACCAATTTAAACTCCCAATATCAATCATAGAATCATGTTTCTGTAATATCCTAAGTTTTGAGGTATCATTATGTCCATTATTCTATTTGAAAGTTCCAGTATATGAATGATTTAGAGATAACCCAATTGATCTTCTAAAAAGTTTTGAATTTTGACAGCTCTTCAGATACCAAAACAAGATCTCTTTGTTAGTTTCCATTAATTTAACTCAATCAAAAGAAGAGAATTACCTAAAACAAATAAATAACCCTAAAGTAACCCTATTGTTAATTGATCTCTATTAGTTACCTATAACTCATAACAAAGTTAAATTGTGATTGTAATGCGTACCTTGCTCATAATAACCGAAATTTGTAGGTTCATCAGCCAAACGTACTGATCATCATTAATTCAACCTTACCTTTAATCAAAAGTCATAGATCAACATCAATCTATATTAGATTACTCGATATCTGGTATGGTACTTAAATTTCCGATCAGATTAACGTAAAGCATTGTTGTGTATGGAGCATAAATATCCGGAATCAAATCAATGGTACACAATGTACAGCTGTTGGATCAAGATCATCTGAATAAAAAGAAATATAACATAAACTGTTTAAGCCTATTTGGTCTTTTGTTCATATGAAAACTTATCAGTTTGATTTTTTGATCGTTGATAAGATTTTTAATATCAATTTATCTAGTCTCAAGTATTCGCGAAGGCTAGAGACTGGAAGTGATAAATACGTCGAGGAAAATTTGGATTTCAATGCTACATGAGCAAACTATATAATGCATAGAGTTTAGAGCATAATTGTGGGATTTGATATAATTTATGAGCTTAAGATGTTGTTGAACCACGAGTCACTACCTAGTACCTACTACGTAAGTCATACAATCAGTTCATAACTGCGGTCCACAAGTAAATTGACATGCATAATAGATTAAACATTTTCAAGTTCTAGGCTTCTCGACTTCCAAAAGAGGAAACATGTGGGCAAATTTACTGTATAACTATATTCGCAAGCAAAAAAAGAAGTTGAGGATCAAATATTATTGGATGGGAATGAACGTGGTTTCTTATGCGTACAGATGTCAAGACAAGTTTAAATATGGCTTTAAACAATTTATGAGATAGCATTGGTACACGACAAGTTGTTGATTGATTTAGGGTAATTTATAGCAACGTAGTTCTAAGTTATGATGGTAAACACCTCAATCAAATAACTTGAACAGGTCAATATTAGGAGTTTCCTTAACTAAAATTGATTCAAGATAAAGTTGCTTACGTGGTGATCTAGTGATATATAGAACAACTTTATGCTCGGCGTTCTGACTTAAACATTTTATTTTGAGTAACGCGGTTGCTTAGCTAGTGCTTTTGTAATTAGAGACATCTAGATTTCTTGATATAGGTAATCTAAGTTCACCATAATTAAACGTTGTCAATATATTAAGAGACCTGGTTACTAAATTTACAACAATACACTAAAAGATTCAACACCAGACTTATACGTGTCAAAATCTCAGCAACTACTTCATGAAACATTAGATGACATGATCGAGTCATTAACTAATAAAACATGATCATTTGAATTTCATAACACGATTATAATAGCCTAATTAAGAGTTGATAGAAAAAAAACATCGCCATAGGAAACTGACCATGCATTAGTTTACTCGTATAGGAAGTTTGTGTGGAGTCATGGAAATCCCAATAGAAACCATTTTTGGTTAAGCCAGCACTGTTCTTTGTTTTTTTATGCTGCGCTGCACAAATCGTAAAATTCTCGGAATATTCCAGTTTGCATAATTCTCTTTCTTCAATTTTGATAAATATGTGTTTGTATAAAACAAAATGTGTTACTTTTAGTATAAACAACTATTAGTCTTGAATGAGAGCTATCAATGCAAGGAACATGATCATGAAAAAAGCTTTCCGATTTATGTCCCTATTAATCCGTCGTTATCAAAAGTGTCAAATTTGGTATCAATTTCGATAAAGTTGGTCTACCCACAAAAAATTAGACTTCAAAGCTCAAGGCTCCAGGGCAACTTCAAGTTTCTATTTATTTTGTGCCTCGCGATTTAAAGTTCTCGATTCGCATTAGACTGCAGTGACCCATATGAGTCTCTCCCAATAGCCTATAGATAGACGAGAAGCGGGACCTGAGGGACCACCTACTAGCATAACCTAATCTATTGACCAGGGTACGGGCCTACATAACTTTACCCAAATTAGAAAATATTTTTATAGTTTTCTTTGCTGTTCACGTATAGTGTTGACTTTTACAGAAAATTTTTCAGAACTTTGCTTATGATGATTTCAGTTCAATTGAATAACAAACCGCTGGTATATCTAGTGTATGTTTTTAACATATCAATATGAAATTTAGTATGCAAAGAAGCTGTTCTCCTCTAGTTTCTACCAAATGTTTTGAAATCGAATTAACTTTATGTTTACCCCAAATCTATAAAGGTGTCACTCTGTTAATCACTAAACACTCTTTGGCAGGGTTTTTAAATGATGTCATTTGAAAATTTAGTGCATAGTCTGGCTGACTCAGGTTCCTAGACCCTGTGCCAGACCCGTATATATTTCATTTTATTAATATACAGCTATACAGCTTTTCGGTTAATCAATTTTAATTTTCAATATGTTTATATAACGACTTCTCAATTCTCAAATGATTGTCTTTAACAATTAACAACGTTGATTGTTTGGATCAAATTTTTCAATTTCACAGTGTCGATATAAATAGTCTTTAATATCTCGTATTTTGAAAAATTTCAATGAGAATCTATATATCGGAATCTATTTTATCTACACATTTATAAACTATCAAGTACACATAGTACAAAAGAACGTCATATACATATTACAAAAATGTTTAATAGTATATTTAGAAAGCATGATCCACGGACAGTGGATATAGAAAATGAAAAAAAAACAGATGAGTTGAATGCTTCATTAAGAGCTTCCAACACTTCAGTATCTGATGAACAAGGTTCTCATACAACAATTCAATCAACTCATAGAACATTAAATTCAAGAACAGTTAATTTGATTGCAATGGGTGGTTCCATTGGTACTGCATTATTCGTTACAATTTCAACTGGGTTATTGAATGGTGGTCCAGCAAATTTATTCATGGCTTATACTATATGGTCTGGTGTGATTTTTTGTGTTATTGCCTCTATTGGTGAAATGGTTTGTTATTTACCAATCCATGCACCTTTCATTCAAATGGCTGGTCGTTGTGTTGATGAAGCTTTTGAAGCTATTGTGGGGATGAATTATTGGTTAATGTCAAGTATATTGGTTCCTTTTGAAATTACTGCAGTTAATTCAATGATTCATTTTTGGAGAGATGATTATTCACCTGCAATAACTTTTGTTTTACAAATTTTCATTTATACTTTGTTGAATTTATTTGCAGTTAAATATTTTGGTGAATGTGAATTTTGGTTATCTTTAGGTAAAGTTATTTTAGCTGTTGGTTTGATTGTTTTCACATTTGTTGCCATGGTTGGTGGTAATCCTCAACATGATGCATTTGGATTTAGATTTTGGAATAACCCAGGTCCAATGGTTGAATATTTAACTGGTGGTTCAATGGGTAGATTCCATGGATTTATGGCTGCTTTAAATAAAGCATGTTTCACTTGTGTTGGTCCTGAATATCTTTGTATGGTTGCTGGTGAAACTGGTCAAGTTACACGTAAAGTTTTATCAAAATCTTTCAAAACTGTTTTCTATAGAATGGCTGTCTTTTATGTCTTGGGTTCACTTTGTGTCGGTGTTTTAGTTGCTTCAAATGATGAAACATTAATGAGTATGGCAGGTACAGGCTCTGAATCAAATGGTGCATTCTCACCATATGTTATTGCAATGAAAAACTTACAAATCAAAGTTCTTCCACATATTGTTAATGCTCTTTGTGTTACCTCAGCATTTTCAGCTGGTAATTCATATGTTTATTGTTCATCAAGAGCTTTATTAGCATTGTCTAAGAATGGATTTGCTCCAAAGTTCTTCCAATATTGTACCAAGACTGGTGTTCCAATCTTCTGTGTTACTGTTTCATTTTGTTTTTCATTATTATCACTTTTACAATTAGGTGCTTCAGGTGCTAAAGTTTTAAATTGGATTGTTAATGTCATCACAGGTGCTCAAGTTGCCAATTATTTCTTTATGACTATTACATTTTTGGGTTTCTGGAGAGCTTGTAATGCACAAGGTATTGATAAATCAACATTTAGATATAAATCATGGTTTCAACCTTATACTGTTTTATTTGGTATGGCTTTAACAGCTTGTATGGTTGGTTGTTTAGGTTATATCTCATTAATGCCAGGAAGATGGGATATTGGTACTTTCTTGACAAGTTATTTAATGATCTTGTTAGATGTTGTTGTTTTCATTCTTTATAAATTGATCAAGAGAACCAAGATGGTTAAACCAGAAGAAGCTGATCTTGTGAATGGATTGGATGAAGTGGAGCAACATGAAATGAATTATTTGGAAGAAAGAGAAAGATTAGGTTTAGACATCAATCCATCAATATGGCAAAAAATTTCCAATTGGCTTTTCTGATTTGTTATTATTAAGATTCAATATTAACCGAGGATTTTATTCAGTTCACATATATTTTTGTAATTCATAAAAAAGGCATGTTTTATATATTATTGATTTTCACATTATTTTAATTAAAAGGAGTTTAATTGTTTAGAGTATTTTATACAAATCATTTTGGTGTTTTATATTCAAATAAAGTTTTGTAGTGAAAAATTGTATAGTACCTATTATTCCCCCGCGAATTTGGTTTATGTCCCAAAAATGGTGTTACTTTAAATTAACATCCTTTGCACAATGAAATCTTTGTCAACCAGATCAAATACATTCTGAATAGTCAATTGTCATTTGAAAAGATATGTTCATAAAGAGATTGTACACCAAAAACACCAATTCTTTCATTTCAAGATCCTTACACAATTTTAACCATCCAAGAATCTCACAGGCTCAATTGAAACAATCTATAGAAACAACCATAAATAATCATCAACCAAGTCCAAAGGAAACTTGGAAGAGTTTCAAGCAGATAACTTCAATTATATTGTTTTCCACTATAAGTACAATTGGCATATACTCCTCATATCAAGCTGTTTATAAAAATGAAAAAACATTTGTCCCATTATGGATTAATCCTATAAAGAGGAAACCAAAATCTGGAGAAATAGATCTAGAACAAATTCAATCAGTTGCAGAAGATCAAATATTAGAAAGATTATCATTAGATCATGAAATTAAAACACAATTCAAATTACCTATAAAGCAAGATACACCTATAAGCTTTGATGTATGGATAGAAGATAAATTAACTACATTGAAAGGTTTACAAATTTCACCAACTTCTCCAACTTTCTCTATTGTTAATAAACCAATTCGTATTAAGAAAATAGTTGATGGGCTCTTGGAACCTATTGGTGGGATTTTAAATGGTAATTCAACTGATGAAAATTTTAAAATACCAGTTTATAATGAACATACTATCAAGGAAAAAGATCATGATATTGTATTTTTAGGTGAAGTTCCAATTCAAGGACAAAATGGTAAAGTTGCAACTGTGGTGTTTAAAGGGATCTTTGATTTTGAACATATCAAACATGCGAAAATCATAAAAGCTCATTTAATAACGAAAGATGATGAAGGAAATTTACATAGGAAAATATTATGGAATCGTTAAAATTTGACATTTACAATTCGAATATTAATATAATTTGAAATTAAATTTATGAAAACATAAAACCCGCATGAATCATGGAATATATATTAAAAATCATTATGAAATTATGAAAAGAAATAAAAACACAAAATACCTGTAAATCCCCATCTCTATATTAATTATTACTCAAAAACCATCTTCAAAATCTGCCCAATTGATATTTTTACCCCCAGAACTCATCATCTCTTCAAGCTGTTTTAATTCTTCTTCTTGTTTGGCGAGTTGTTCCTTTGTTAATTTTTCAGCTTTTAGTTGTGGTTTTGGTTCAGGATTACTCTGTTGGTTGACACGATGTTCTCTATCGTTGTCATATTTGTTACCTCTTAAGCTATATTCTTTATGATGATCTTGATGATGTTGACCTCTATGTTCAAATTTATGATCCCTATTTTGATGTGAATATCTATTATCATTATGATCTCTATTGTGGTTTGAATATCTACGATCATTATGACCCCTATTACGATTGAAATCTTTGTTGTGATTCCATTCACGGTTGGCTTTGGTACGCTCTTTTTGTAATCTATCACGTTCTTGTTCCCTTCTATTCCGTATATCTTCTTTACTTGGTTGTATTGGCTTTTCAGGTAACGTTGAACCTAATCCTAAACGTGATGCAAGGCTATTACCAGCTTTAGTTGGTGCTTGAGGTTTGTATTCTTCTTCATCTATCTCGTATTCATCTTCCTGATCTTCTTCTTCATCATCTTCCCAGTGTTCTTCATCGTGTTGATGTTTACTTTTATGATGTTTATTAAATTGAATCTTTGGTTTTGATGGTTGATCATTTGATGAAATACCTAATCTAGAGGCAAAAGCTTTAGCTTCAGGTGTCATTTGTTCTCTACCGTTTGAATCTTCATGATCTTCTAATTGTAATTGATTATCAAATATTGAGGATAAATCATTGACTTTATTATGTTTTTTAGGTGAATCTCTATATTTCCTTGGTTCTTTTGGTATAGATTTATGCTTTGGTGGAGATTTGTGAATTGGAATCTTAACTTCTTCTTCTTTTTCATCATCACTTGAGTCAGCCCATTTACTAGCTAATGGTTTCCCTTTGACAGATGTCACAGCATTTGATTTCGATGGTGATGTTGAATTAATTGATTTTGAAGGTGATGTTCTCTTTGTGGAATCTTGTTCAACAGCAGCTTTAACCAAATCTGGTTCATCTGCCCATTTAGAGGCAAGACCTGACATTGATGATAGTGATTAAATAATGGAATGAAAGCAAAATAATATAAACTAGCGAATGAATTAACTCTTAGTTGTATCCTAATTATCAAATTGTGGTTGATGAGACAAAAACAATTTAAAACGTTTATCGAATGTTTTGATTTTTTGATAGTGCAAATGAAAAAAATATTGCGTAATGTGTCCTTAACCGACTACACAGATATAACAATTTTAATTTAATCTTGATTTATTTCCACTTAAATGAGGTAAATTTGTGAAAATAGTTGTTTATTTAGTATTAATGATGTAATAATTGCATATGTAGGTCTTTACAGGGTTTAAATCGGTGTATTAATTGTGTTATTATGGAATTTCAGCATTTTATTGGTCTTCGATCTATAAATCTGGGGTCCGTCAAAAATAACTTGATTTAACAGCACAATTATCAGCCAAATACAAATTAAAACAAGTATATCTATAAAATGAGAATTAAATATTATTCTAAAACGAAATTTAGTGCAAAATTTTTTTCATAAATTTTTTATTTCAAAAATATAATTAACCTACAAAAGTTTATTTTTACTTTGGAAATAACAATTTCAAAAAAACTCAAAATTTCAACCATTGAATCTCAAACATTTATTAGCATTATAATACTAAGCTATAATTCAGGATACTATGAAAATTAAAAAAAAGCTACATTATTACCAAAAATATTGAAATAAACCACTTTAATTTCCCAAAATGCTTAGTCAGCAATAATGTCATCAAGATTTTATATGTTGGATACTTAGCCATACTCTTGTTTTCAAGTTAAGGCACTTTGGCCGAGTGGTTAAGGCGAAAGACTTGAATAGTTTGATCTTCGGATCTATCATCAAGGCCATCTTTTGGGATTTTCCCGCGCAGGTTCGAGTCCTGCAGGTGTCGTTATTTTCTTTTTTTGCTGATTTTGCCGGCGAATTAATATTTTTGAATAGAATGCACACAAACTAGGCCTTTATTGATTGATAATTGTCATTATTATTCATTGGCGTTGATGTTTTTTGCCATTTGAGGTTTTATTTTTGAAAATTTTGTGTCATCTTGTGGAAAAAATGTTTAATTGAAGGCTTGAAGGTAAACCCGACTGATCACTATTGAACTTCAACACCTTCAACTTCAACTTTACATCAGAAATCATTAGCTATATGTTGAAGTAGAAAACATTTAACAAATTTTCCAGGATTTTGAACCATATTTATATTAAACTTCAACAAATTGCTTAATTTCAAAACTAAATTTAAAGTTTTTCATATTTGTATGAATTGAGTAAATATCGAGGATCGAAAATACCTTATTTGGTATGATTTGCATGATTATACTAGTTTTATAGTACTCGAACCAAAAACCAAGCGTACAAAGGTACTTGAATAGAAGGTTCTAGCCAATTCTATATTATCAACAATAATTAAGTAGATGTATAACAAGTCATGCGCCATGCGTATACTTGGCTATAATAAAGTGGACGTTTATAATTACTTTAACGAGATTTATAATATAAAACTACTTTAAATTCTTGACAAAACTATATATTATAATTAAACTCATATAAACTTAAACATTTAATAAACTCGAGCTGAAACATAACATAAACTAATAAACAATAATAATAATAAAAGGAATAGTAAAAAATCATAAAGAATTAAAAATTAATGTAAACCAAATTGTTTTTTTTGTATTATTATTGACCATCTTTAGTTAATGATTGAAATTTTGTTGGATTTGATGCACTTAATTCTTTTAATTTTGAAATATGATGAATTGTTTTAGCAATTGTTTGAACTAATAAATTTGGTTTCAAAGGTTTTGAAATATATTCATCCATTTGATTTTCTAAACATCTTTCACGATCTCCCAACATTGCATGAGCAGTTAATGCAATAATTGGTAATCTTACACTAAATGGATCTAATGGATTAACTTCTTTTTCCCATAATCTAATTTTTTCAGTTGCTTCAAAACCTCCCATTATTGGCATTTGAACATCCATTAATACAACATCATAACGTTTTTTTTTAACTTCTTCAAAAGCTTCAAGACCATTTTTAACAACAGAAACTTGATGACCATATTTTTCCAAGATTCTTACAGCTAATTTTTGATTAACTAAATTATCTTCAGCTAATAAAATTGTATAAGATTGTGGTGTATTATCATCACTTGGAACAATTCTTGATTCTAATGCAGGTTTTAGATAACCAGCTAAATCAGCTAATGAACATGGTGTATTACCATACGATTGAATACCTAAATCTAAACAAATCTTCATATTTAAACCTTCAATCATTGGATTTAATAAAACAAATGGAATATATTTAATTTCTGGTAATTCTCTTAATGATTTACCAATTTCAATACTATCAATAATAATGGTATCAAATTTTGATTGATCTTCACTTTTAACTTCTGCAATATCATGAACCACAGTTGGTCTTAAATTTAATTCTGTTAAATCTTTTCTAATTTTTTCAGATTCTTCATCACTAAAATTTGTTGATATAAATAAAATTTGATGTAAATTAAAAGTTAATAATGCATCTGACTGTTTAACAAAATTAATTTTAGCAGGTGATGTTGCAATCGTAAAATAAAATTTTGAACCTTCTCTAAATGCACTAATAACCCAAATTTCACCACCCATTAAATGAATTAATTTTTTTGAAATTGATAAACCTAATCCTGTACCACCAAATTTTCTTGTTGTTGAACCATCAGCTTGTGTAAAAGTTTCAAAAATTAAATCTAATTTTTCCTTTTTAATACCAATACCAGTATCTGAAACACAAAATTCTAATACTAAAGTACTATCTTTTTTAATTTGTGGAGCAGAATCATTAATTAAATTACCACTATTTGTACCAATAACATAATTATTATTTTCAATTGTTTTAGAAATTTGAGTATCTAAAGGATCTGTAGCTTTTTTAACACTTAATTTAACATGACCTTTTGAAGTGAATTTTATAGCATTACCAACTAAATTTAATATAACTTGTCTTAATCTAAAAGAATCACCAATGATTGAATCTGGGAATGATGAATCAACTTCATAAATTAAATCTAATGGCTTTTCAATTGATTTAACTGCAAGAGTCTTCAATGCACCGAACACGGTACCTCTTAATGAAAATTCAGCTTCTTCCACAGTCATTCTATTTGCTTCAATCTTGGAAATATCCAAAATATCATTAATAATTGTTAATAAAGAATTTGCTAAATTATGAACAGTTGATAACATTTCTCTTTGATATTGAGTTAATTCAGTATCTAAAGTTAATTGAGTATAATTTAAAATACCATTGAAAGGGGTTCTTAATTCATGTGAAAAAATACCCAAGAATTCAGATTTTGCACTATTTGCTAATTCAGCAGCTTCTCTTGCCGCTGTATTTCTCTTAATTGATTCTCTTAAATTGAAAACCATTTGATTAATTTTAGTCTTTAAAGTATCCATTTCACCACTTGCCTCCACAGTAATAAATTTTGTAAAATCACCATCAGTTGCAGCTGCAGTAATTTGAGCGAAAGCACGAACTTGTGAAGTTAAATTAGCAGCCATTACATTAACATTTGTTATAATTTCTTTCCATAACCCATCAACATCAGAAACTTGAGCTTGGACACCTAATTTACCATCAATACCAACGTCTTTTGCCACACGAGTAACTTCACTAACGAAAACTTGTAAAGAATCAACCATCTTATTTATAGTGGATTTTAATTCTAAAATTTCACCTTGAGCAACAACATCAATTTTTTGTGATAAATCACCATGAGCAACTGCTGTAGTAACTGCTGCAATTGATCTAACTTGATTTGTTAAATTTGTAGCCATTGCATTAACATTATCAGTCAAGTCTTTCCATGCACCTTCGACTCCATTAACAACCGCTTGACCACCTAATATACCCTTTATACCAACATCTGTAGCTAATGATGTAACTTCCATAGCAAAAGTTTGTAGAGAATCCACCATTTGATTTATAGTAGATTTTAAATCCAGAATTTCACCTTTACAATCTGCAGTAACTTTTTTAGATAAATCACCTTTTGCCACTGCTGTAGTAACGTTTGCAATATTACGAACTTGATTTGTTAAATTTGTAGCCATTGCATTTACATTATCCGTTAATTCTTTCCATATACCTTTTGCACCAACAACAATAGCTTGACCACCTAATCTACCTTCGACACCAGTTTCTCTTGAAACTCTTGTAACTTCAAAGGCAAATGTTTTCAATTGATCAACCATTGTATTTATAATATTTTGTAATTCCAAGATTTCACCCTGGGCATGAACATTGATTTTTTTAGATAAATCACCTCCAGCCACAGCTCTAACAACATCTGCAATTTCTCTAACTTGATTTGTTAAATTCAAAGCCATTACATTTAAATTATCACTTAGGACTCTCCATATACCCACAGTGCCAGCACTTTTAACTTGACCACCTAATTCACCATGAGCAACTTCAGTAGCAATCTTGATAACTTCATCAGCATAATTATTTAATTGTGTAACCATTGTATTTATTGTGATTTTAACTTTTAATAATTCTGGATCTTGTTCATTATCAACATCAACAGTTTTAGTTAAATCACCCATAGCAACAGCTATAAGAACATTACCAATTTCAGTTAAAGCTTCTTTTGATCTTTGAAAAGTTCCAATATTTTTAGCAATTTGTTCTTCATTATGAGTGAATTTCTCAAGGGCAATGATCCTAAATTTTTCTAAGTCTTCAGGATTTGATGTTATTGATTTGAATTTGACTGGATCTTCCAGTATGGATAGAACATCTAAACTATCCATTTTTTGTCTTTTTAAATCAGAAATTTTGGAATGTTGGTATGTTTTATGAGTTTATATTAGCAATTGATATTATCTGGTTTGACCTTGAAATGTATACTCTTCAACAAGATACTTTCTTTTATCTCTGTTGATGGTTTTGAATGCAAGCAGCAGGTCTAACCAATGATTTTTTAAGCGCTGGGAATGAACAACTAAAAATGGTACCTGACAATCAATGACAATCAATTAGCGAGTGATGAGAAGCTTGTGATCCTTAATCTTGACTGATTCTTAGCTGAGTAGATCACTGAGTTATTGACTATTGAATACCTAGTTGATAAATTATGAGTTGTTGATGGTTTTTGTTGATTTTGTTGATAATTGTTTTCTTTGTTTTTGTTTTTTCTTTCCTTCAAATTTTAATTTTCATTTTTTATTTTTAGATGATGGGCCAAATAAATGGTATAAAATAGTGGATAATGGGCAAGAACAACAACAACAAGGAGTCCGTTTGAAGTTCTGAAAACTGGATTAGTGAGTTCAGGGACCATAGATTATATATAATACCATTTTAAACCAGGATTATACCTATAATATAAGCAATAATCAGTATATAATATATTCCATTGATCTTATCAAGAGTATTTACCCAGACCGCGGAAAGTCGGGTTTGAAAAACACAATATTGAAATATCAATAAACAAACCATAAACAAACCAGGAACTCAAGAATCACCAGTGAACTAGATCATGTCCCAACCAACAGTCAGACAGATCCATGTGCCTAGAGCTGCTAAGGCATGTGCTGCTTGCAGACGTCAAAAAACTAGATGTTTCCCTTCAAATGATGGTCCAAGTTGTTTACGTTGTCAATCATTATCAAAACCATGTAGTTTCATAACAGATGGTGGTCCAAATAATGGTGGTAATGGTGGTGGTGGTGGTACTAATGGAAATAGTGAAGGTCCAAGGTTATTACCAGGTGGTCATGCTATAGTTGGTGGTATTAAGAGAACGGTTAGTGAAGCTGGGTTTGATATTGATTTTGGTGCTTTAGATCAAAATGTTAAGACTATTTTATCAATATTACAATCCAAGAATGAGGTTCCTAAAATAATTGAGAATAATGAACAAGTTGAACAAGAAGAAGAAGAAGAGGAACCTATTGATGACAATACATCTATTTCAATACCTTCTTTCCAAACAAGTCCTTTTAATTTCTTGATGAATTCAATTTCAAAGCAATCATTACCAAATTCAATTAAATCAATAATGAATCCTGAATCAATCACATCAAAACCTCAAACTCAAGAAAATGTCATCTCCTTAGGGATAATCTCACAAACAGATGCACAGTTATTAATTGATCGTTTTAAAAATCATTATTCTCGTTGGATAAGTTTACCAAATAATATATCATCAAATGAATTTATTGAAAATTTAACAGAAAATTCACCATTATTTTTAACCACTATAATAACAACGGCACTTAGGTATCATCATCCAGGAAATAATTCATCATCACAACCATTAAGACAAGCTTTGAAAACTCAATTACGTAAAGAATTAATCAATTTAATTATTCAACAAAATTTAAAAAATCTTGATGATTTAAAAGCCTTAGTTATTATATCAGTTTATGGTTATTCTTTAACTTTAGATAATCCTGATAGTACAGAAAGCTCAAATATAATAGATCCTTGGATAATCTCAGGAATTGCAATACAAAAATTCTTATCATATGATATCAAAACCCAATTATTAAACTTGGATAAATTATCAACAGATCAATTTTCTATATCATTAGACGAGGAAAATTCTAAATTATCAAATTTTAGAATATGGAATCATATTGCACTTGTTCACCTGGTAAATTGTGTATTTACATCAAGATCATGTCTCTTAGATGAAATTAGATTAGATCAAACTAGGAAATCTTTAGATTTATCACAAGCTACAAATTTTGATGGTAGAATTGTAAGTGAAATTTAATTACAATTATTATTATATAATTATTTACAAAATAATTGTTATTCATCAAGTACTGATCAAAATGGTTCATCAAATATTGATTATGAAAATTTCCTTTTGGAATTGAATCAATGGTATGAACAATGGAGTTATCTTTTCAAACAACCTACCTTACAATTCACAGAGTTTTGTTATCATTATGTTTGTATTGTTGCCTTGTTTCATAATCAATTTGGTTTAAATTTGAGTGATTCATCAAATATCTTAGATTTTAAATTTCAAGATTTTGAAATTAAAACTCCAAAAATCTTGAAAAAATTATTATATCATTCAATCAAAATTATTGATCATATAAATAATATTAGAGATGACGATCAATTTTTATCATTATCTGATCAATTACATATAAGTACAGTTTTTACAACTTTATTATTTTTAAAAATTATTGAATGGAGCTCAAAATATACTGGAGATTCTATAATAAATCAATTTGAAATTGTGGAACATATATCAAAAGCAAAGAGTATAAAGGAAAAATTTGAAAAAACTAGTATTTATAAATATGATTTATTAGGGAAATTTTCTAAAGGTATTCAAGAATCTATTGATTTATTATTATCAAAAATATAAACCTCAGAAGCTCCAATTGTTCAAACTACAATTTATTTATTTTCTTGTTTATTTCTCATGAATTGTGTATTACCATTATTGTTTTTAGTAATTATAAATATATCATTATAATGTATCTCTCTTTAAAATTATAGAATATCTTATGTTATTTTTACTTTTATGCATATGATTATTAACTTCCTTATGTTCTTTTTGGATCTTTAATACCTAAAACAGCACGACCTAAGTAGTAAACATTAACAGCAGTAACACCAGTGAATAAAACCCAGAATGGATAAACATAAAATTTAGATCTTGGATGTCTCATCCATAATGGTTTTGTTGAAGTTTGATATAATTTTTGTAATTCAATAACGTTGTTTTTAACCACTATTTCGATATAGTTAGTACATATTCTTCCTCAGCCTTAATCCACACACAACTATCATCATACTCACTCTTGATTTAGTTTTGTATAGGTTGATTATAATCTTGATCTTCTGAAATACCAACACATTTACAAAATCATTTCATTTTTTCAATCACTTTTTCGTGGTTTTCTAAAATACCCAATCAAATTTGCAACAAAAAAACCAAAAATTCGCGAAAGAAAATATCACTCGCCACAAATCATATAGCGTATTTCCTGTTTGGGTAATTCAGTGGCTAGTGCAGAAAAGATAGTACGAAAACGGTTTTGTGGTGGCTAGTGCATAAACTGTTTTGATAATTATGGCTCATTGGAAATACAAGTGAAGTTGATGAAAGTGTTGATAGTGATTGAAGGTGGTGGATAGAGGTCAAGATGAGCTTTAAAGTGAGTAGACGGTGCTCTATAATTAGTACAAACCATTACTAACCAATCCTCAGAGACTTGTAAGATTCATTGCAAATGATAATCTCACATATTTTGGTGATGTTATACTGAAAAATTCTTTAGATCCAAGATTATCAACCCAGGCTTATAAGATTAAAGGTGATATATTTGGAGAATATGAAATTACAAATGAAATCCTTGAAATTAAAAAATTATTATCACCATTAGATCAATCTCAATTGAAATCTATTAGAATGATTGGTATGAATTATAGGAAACATGCAGAGGAAATTAATTTACCAATTCCAAAATATCCTGTATTATTTTATAAACCTATATCTTCAATTAATGGACCTCACGATGATATTGAATTACCTGAGGTAACAAGAATCGAACAAGGGAAAATTGATCATGAAGCAGAATTAGTTATTATAATTGGTAAAAAGGGTAAAAATATTAAAATTGAAGATTCTTTAAGTCATGTATTAGGTTATACCGCAGGGAATGATGTATCTCAAAGAACATGGCAATTAGAAAGAGGTGGTTCTCAATTCTCTACGGGGAAAATGTTTGATACTTGGGCTCCAATTGGTCCTGCTATAATTTCATCAAATTTAATTCCAAATCCAAATAATTTACAAATTTCATCTAAAGTTAATAATAAATTAAGACAAAATAGTAATACAAATGAATTGATTTTCAATATTGAACAATTAATTACATTTTTATCCCAAGGAACTACGTTATTACCTGGTGATTTAATCTTTACTGGTACTCCAAAAGGTGTTGGTAGTGGGTTTAATCCACCAAAATGGCTAAAGAATGATGATATTGTAGAGATTAATATTGAAAATATTGGTTCTATTAAAAATACAGTTAAAAATGTATAATCTGTTTTATTACTAAATGTTCATTAAATAAATTACTATTATTACTATTATAAAATTGTCTAATCATCTTCATCAGATATACGAATTGCTTTACCTCTTCTTCCAATATTTATATTTGTATCTTCATCACTTTCAAGCTCATATGGATTTTCGACATCCATTACACTCAGTGCAGCTTCAATATCTGAACTTCGTTGAAATCCATTCCAACTTTCAGCATCTTCATCTTGATCATCTGAACTTTGATTAAATCTTGAATTTCTTAATAGACCTTGATGATCTTCTAAATCTTCTAATTCGTCTGAATCTCTTGTATCTTCCCATTCATCATCAAGTATAAATGTTGGGGTATATCTTCTTCTAGTTGTAATTTGTTCATCTTCATCATCATCATCTTCATCATCTCGTCTTCGAAGATTATGATAATTCGGTGATGATGGAGATTGTGGTTCTCTATTTTCCACTTCATCATCTTCTGAATCTTCATCATCTGTATATTCTTCACCAAGATCATCATCATCAACAACAAATGCTAAATCATCTTCATCTGGTTCATCATTATTCCTTAATCTTCTTTCAATTTCACTATCATAATTTTCAAAATCTTCATCATCACTTGTATTCCAATGATCAACAGGTCCCATGAATCCTAATCTTGAACCATCAAGATCTGTATCATCATCACTAACTATATTTAACTCATTTCTATTTCCTATAGCTATATTACAATTTGGACAACGATCTCCTTCAACTTCCCAATGACAATTTGAACATCTTGCAACCCCATCACTCATATCCACAACAGCTTGACCAATATTTTTGAATACACTTTTAAATTTATTATTTGATGAAACATCTTTATTATAACTTTCAACTTGTAATAATTTATGCCTTTTAGTATCAATTAATTCATCATTTGAAATTTTTTGACACATTTCAAATAATGTATTACATAAATCTCTTAATTGAACATTAAAAAAGGGTTCTTGATCAATCTTTGACCTACACGCAGGACATGATATATTATCACTTAACCATTCTGTAAGACACTATAACCCAAATTTGTTAGTAAAATATACGAAAATATTCTCAAGTGTAAATAACTTACTGAATAACAAAAATTATGACCACATCGTGTCATATACGGTACAAACATATGATCCTGACATATTGGACACTGTGTTGAATCTGATAAACTTTTGAGTATTATATTTGTAGAGTTTTCATCCTATATTCAAAAGTTAGTATAAACTATCCCATTCATCACGTATTTGTCCATACATACAGCTTTCTGAAGTATCTCCTCTATAGAAGACATGATATGTAATGATATTTAATATTGATTATTTCTTGTGTACTTTTCTCTTGAATATTATCTAAGGTGTAAATAATTGAAAATACCCTTTGATTTTATAATTCAATGAAAAAATTCAGAAGCTATTAATATGAGTTAATTTTTTTTATGTCACTTTTTTAATTTGAAATAGTTTATATATGAAAATCAAAAAATGAGAATCAAAATTAATATACTAAAAATTCGCGTTTCATGCACGTGATTTGATCTGATATTTTGGGAATAAAGTTGAATTTTCAAAGGAAGCCGTCAATTTTATATAATTAATATTCTCATTTTACAAATTATTTTCCATTTATTTTAGGATTAACAAGGTTTGTATTAAGGGTTTATATGTAGTATTAATAATATATGCATTGTTGTGTATGTACAAGTTTTTTTTTTCATTCCTTTTTAACCCAATTCTTTATAATATAAATATGCAAAACTTGATATTGAAATCAAAAACAATTAAAAATCTCTATATGTGTATATGTTAATCATTAAATAAATGTAAATTATTAATATGCAGTTCTTTTTCTTTTTCTTTAATCTTTTATATATGTGTATATGTTAATGCTTTGTTCTTATGTACTCTTATCCCATTCTTCTAAAAATTCTAGACATTCTGAACATAATTCAATGGATTTTATTTTCTGTGATCTAAATCTAATCCTTAAAAATTCAAGCCTTTTTTGTAATTCATATTTAGGATGTTTCATTTCACCAATAATCAACATTCTTTCTTTTTTGGAAAGATAATTTCTATGACTTTCCAATTGACGAATTAAATAACGATTAAGTCTTAAGTTTGGTAAATTAATCACTAAATCTAATGCTTTAAAATATAAATCCATATCTTTACTTTTAACACAAGCATTTGTTAATGTAATAAATAAATTAATTTCATCATCTTTTTGTATTTCTATAATGGAGTTTCGTGATTCTTGTAATATTTCAATTGCTAAATCTGTGTTATAAGCTTTAATACTCATATTAGCTAAATCATTATAATGAACATGAGACAGTCTTCCTTGATGTTTTAATCTAAGATCTTGAACTAAACTTTTACCACTTTCTTTAATTTCATGACCATTTTTAGTAGATTCTAATAACTCATAAATTGAATTTTTCAACCATGCTAATTCATATTCAACTAAGTTATCTTTATCAATTTTACAACATAAAGTATATAAAATTTCTGATTCCTTTGATCTCATATTAACAAGTCCATATAATGAAGTTATCAATAGTAAATAATTAGGTTTTAAACCTAATCTTAACTGAGTATTTATCATGGACATTATCTCAGCATCTTTTTTTTCAGCAATCAAATCCTTCACTAACTCCAATTTTTTATTCAAGTATTCATCTGGAACAATTGGTCTCTTAATATTATATAAGTTTCTAATTGTCATTACTTTGATGTTTTTCAAGTATCTTGATGATAATTGTTCTTTTGTATATAATTTTGGTAAAAATTTTTGAAATCTTTTAGTTATATCAGCTGATAAATCAGGTTCCATTTTAATAATTGATTTCCAAAGTGTATTAATATGTATAGGTTGAATATGAATGTTTTGTTGTTTTAATGTTTTGTAATAATCTATAAGACCTTTAACATCACCAGATCTACTGAAATATAAAAGGACCCTTGATTGGAAAAAATCATTCATTTCCAATCCATCCTCTGTTAAAGATTCCATTGTTTTTAATAAATCTCCGACTCTTAGTTTTTTGAGAAATATACTGGAAAGTTTCTTATAGAAAACTTCTTGAAATCTTGAATTTTTTTGTAATTTAGATCTAATTTCATTAATTTCTAACCAAACTTTATCATAATCATGAAAATCATTATTTTTTAAATTTTGTAAGAATTTATAAACTTCAATTTCATATAAATCATGTTTTTTTGATTTTAAAAAGATTGAAATTTCCTCCATTTCTTGTGAAGTTGCCGAACGAACATAATATTCAATAATTTCTGAATATGTATTCCCAGTGACTTTTATCTGTGGGTTTTGTTTCAATAAATCAACTGCAAATTTAACAGATTGGAAAGTTCCTGAATTATTAACAGATTTAATGAAAATTTCAAAAGATTTTGAACTCATGGGAAGATGTGATTGAATCATTTGATATAATAATTGTTTAGTAAATTCTAAATTTCTATTCTTAGAATATGCTCTCAAAGCCATATTACAATATCTTGCTGAATGATCACATTCTTTTAAATATTTTGAAAAAACTGCATCAAATAATGTATAATCTTCAGCATTGAAAGTTACACGTAATAATGTTTTAATAATTTGTGGATTCTTGAATGATAAAGCTGGTAATTTTTTATGAATTTCCATGATTGATTTGTATTTTTTACGAATCTCTAATTCTTTGAAAATAACCTCTAGTTGTTCTGTTGAGAGATCATTTTTGGTATATATTATATAATGATATAAATCAATATAATGTTCTTTATGAATGTAGTAAAAAATTTGTTTGAGAAGTTTATCGCCTTCTTGGTCTGGTATAAAGGTTGTTGTAGATGCAGTTGGGATTGTTGTTGCTTTTGTTGTATCACTATTTACAGATGAATTTGGTGTATTTGATGTATTTGATGATGATGATGAATTTGAAGATTCTTGATCTTGGACTTTGACAGGTTTAAGTAATGATATTTCACTTTTTTGATACCTGGTTGAATTGAATTGTCTTGTATATATTAAAGCATTTGGTATAATTGGCACACGCCGTATAGATCTTGGAGTTAAATGCAATGATGATGAAATTGATGAAGTTCTTAGACATTGTAAATCATATAATATTGAGGGCACTTGCAACCCCAGGCCGCGTCGCATGTTATAAGTCAACGATAACACTTAGTATTGCCTGATTTTGTATCTTTGAATGAGTTTTATATTTAATTAATGGAAAAAACAATGATCCATAACTATGAAATTTCTTTAGCTTTAGTATATTATTTGATAATCTTCGGACGTATTGATTTCTCCAAATATTTCTTTATAAGCCCACAAACAACGATTTTCCTTGATTGAAACGCGCTATATCAATTTCTAACACTTGTATCTCCTTCTAAACTTTCTTAAACCAACTTTTCCCACTTCAAACCTTGGGAATTCACACACTTTCTTGCAATCTTAACGGCCTTTCGCTACAAAAAGTAATCAAAATTTTCAGTATAATAAAAAAATATTCGAGATCCGGTCCACTGAAAAAATCACCAAAAGTCGGAAATCATGAACGATAATAGCCTATAATATCAAAAGGAATTCAAATCTAATGAAAACTTACAAGATTGTCAGACAGATTAGTATGAGTATATCAACATCATCATATTAGCTTAGGATTGTCATATACACATCTGAAGTTCTCATGTTTGTCCACGATGAAGTGGGATCCTGAGAGAACAACGGTTTTCAAGTTTGGTAAATTATCAACAAAAAATTCCAGATAACCTTTATAAAAATGTGAAACACAAACAGCTAAAGGTTCAAAAAAACTTTCGTCAAACATACATTCATAATCGTTGAAATGTTCAATTGTTTCATACCCATGGAAATCCCAATAATTTTGACCCGGTGCATAACTTAACACATCAAGATCTGATTTGTTTTGAAGACGTGCTAATAATTCAACTCCAGCTATACCGAAAAATCTTGGTGAAATAACATCTTTGAACTCCGTATCTTCCTCATCATAATATTGATGATTCATAAGATATTCATCGAATAGGCCCAACACATCTTTGCAATATGAACATTCACACCCATTCCATAATAAATCTGAAACTAAAATCTCATAACATGCACATGTTTGTAATAAAGTTGGGCAAATAACAGTTTCTAATGATGTTAAAGTTGGAAGAACTTTTTGATATAGTGTTTTTCTTCTAATATAATTCCCTTCAACATTATTCTCTAATTTTCCATCTCTTGGTGGATTATGACGAATTGATAAATATTTAAGACCTTTAGGAAGATGTAATAAAAATCGATTAATGTTTATATCCCATTTTTCAGAAATATAATGATCTCTATGAAATGTTGTTTCCTTCAGTGATAATTTTTTGATACTGTTTAACATTGGTGCTAAATCATCCAGAAATGTATCAAGACAATCACAATTTTGAACTTCACAACCAATTGACATTTCTAATTCTTCTAAATTTGATAAATCAACACATTCTTCAATGAATTTGATTGTTAATTCTCTCAAAACTGTACTATAATTGTGTAAGCCATGAACATGATTGAATGTTAGTCTTTTCAATGATAGTTTTGGAATCTTAGATTCTGAAAAGATCTTTAATATTCTTAATGCTGCAAATTCTTCATCTTCCAATACAAGTTCTCTTAGATTTGTAAAATTTGGGTTGGTTTTGATTAAAGTCTCATCTATATTACCCGGTAAGTCAATAACTAGACTTTTTAATCTGGATGTATTTTGTAATTTATTGACATTATCTGTCACCACTCTAGTTAAATTTGGAAATTTAGAAATATCAACAAGATCAGAATTAGCATCTAATATTTCAATGCATTTAGCTCTTTCACTTAAAGTAAAAATAAATCTTCTCAACACTTCTTCACCTTCTTTATAATGGAAAACATCACCTAATATTGAAACCTCTTTAATCAATAATGAATGTTTAGTATTTTGTAAAGTTTCAATGAGTCTTTCTAATTTTAAGTAAATAATGTAATCATTCTGATCTTCCCTTCTATGTGATGATCTATATCCTGAGACTGTAGTCCATTTACTATCAATGAACCATTCATCTGTATGATATACCGGATCTTTTCTTATACATATCCTTTTGTATAACTTGGTAATAGACAAATCATATAGTCTCCGAGATACTTGTAATGTTGAAAGAATATCCGACTGTGGTAGAAATGATAATATATCTGTCACTAAAGAATCCGCGAGCTTATGAAGCATTGCTATAATGTTTGGAATATGAAGCTTTTTGTTTTGGCATTAATCTCTTGATTATGGAAATGGTGATGAACTGACAATGTTCGATGTTCGATGTTCCCTCATGGACTCCACGTATTGGGAAGTTCGCGAATTTGAGTACGTTATATTGGCAACAAAATTAACATCAAAAGTCTAGAGTACACAGAAACAGTACCATCAAACACCATTTTCATCATAGCTACGCCATTTTATCATATCAACTCTTGAGAGAAGAAATTTGTATTGTAATGTTGTGCCTACAAATCGAATGGTGCCACCCACTAGCACCGTACACTTCTGTGTTCAATTCTACGCTAATTTTCGCGCTAGATCCTTAATAGCTCCCCCAGTAAGCTCGATACTGCTTCTCTGAGAGCATGTACACTTGCTCAAGTTTGTTCTCCTTCAAATGAGCCTATATTCTCTCCAACCGCTTCTTTCGTTGTCGACCTATTCCAAAAGCCCCAAATACCCACTTTCAAAATGCATTTGAAAAGCTGATCTTGAGCTTTTCCTTAAAATCCGATTACGTAAAATTCGCGAAACCCACGAAATTCGATGGTCACGTGCCTGTATGTTTGACTGCTTGTTTTAGTTGTATTGTTTTGAAGTTTATATATCTCGTGTATATGGTAGTACATAAAGTGGTGTACTGATCATTTTATGCTTCAGTTAAGTTTATTTGCCTACCTCGTCCTACCTCGTGAGTTGGTGTATTTTTAGTTTATTTGGTAAATGCAATTCCGACCTCGTAGTAAACATCCTCTAATTCGGGGTGACACAACGTGAATTTATATGTATCATTAATTTAATTAAGATAAACATTAATAGCGAGACCCGATTTTTTCCATAAGTTATTTGGAATTAGAAGTCACTGTAAGAGTTCTTGAATGATCGCTAAGTCAAAGGCTGGGGGGCCTTGTATGATTGTTGAGGAATAAAGCGAACAGAGATATCGAACAGCTTTTACAATATTGATTATATACGTTCTAATAGAAAAAAAGCTGGGAATATTATTATGGATATTGGATAATATAGGATATATATATTATACATGGGAACATGGCTTCTTTTTTTTTGGTTTATATATATACAATTTGGATTAATATAAATGACTTGATCTTTTACTCAAAGATTATGTAACTTGTGGTAAACTGGTAATGCTATTAATATTGGGTACATCGTCAGGACATTGGGACGTTGATCTTGTGGTTCATTATCTTCAACCTGTTCTGGTACCTGATCATGTTTTATAATTTCAAATTTCACATCATCAATATTATTTATTGATAAACCCTTTATTTAATCATGACCGAAACCATTCATTAAAGGACCACCAAAATCAACATATTGATCATAATGTGCTCTTAAGTTCCATCACATAAAGTTTCAGATTCAGTACTCATTTATTTGAGATTAACAGATTTAACACCATCTTTTAATTTTCTTTCTTTTTCATTTATTATACATCCATTTATTATGGATGTTTCAATTGAATGATTTAGGCTCAAATTTCCCAAGATCCTGAAGAAAAAAATCTCTTGATTGAACTAATTTAAGATCATTAATTTTAACAAAATCAGGCAATGGTTCTCCCCTCTGCTTATAAAGTTCAACTTGATATTCAAATGTGAGCAGTAAAACCTTCTCCACTATGGTGAGTACTTCATTTAAAGCTTGAACTAATGGTAAATTTTCAATAGGAGTTGAATTTGTTAATGAACCTTCGAATCTATCATAATATTTGAAGAAAGCACTTGTTAATAAGCCTGAAAATAAATCACCAGAACCTGAGAATGATGCATTGATTGTTGGCACTTTAAAATGAAATGTCTTGTGAGTTATGGTTGCTTCATTGATTTTTGTAGAGCCTGCACTATATAAATGAGTTTTATCATCATCAAATTGAACAGATGTTACTACCAGGTTCTCAATTGTATCATAAAGTTCATGAAATTTTGTAATGGCTTCTTCTAATGATTTTAAATCTTTAACTTGCACACCTGTAAGAACCTCTAATTCAAGTTGATTTGGTGTTACTAAACTAACATATCCAGATTGAAGTAACTGCTTATACATCTCAATATTACCTTCACTAACATAAATTTTACCATTATCACCAAGTACAGGATCCAAGATCCATTTGACATGATGATCATTCCTCACAAGATCTTTACAAATTTCTCCAACAGCTTTTAAACCTTCATCACCTGGAATATACCCAGTTAGAACAGCATCATAACTCGTACCAATCTCATTTAAACCTTGATATATCTCTTTCAAATCATCTGCACTAGATCTTGTACCTTTAAAAGTCCCATACCCTGGATGGTTGGAGAACTGGACAGTGTTTAAGGCATCAACATCCCATCCTCTGTATTGTAGTGGAAATGTGGCTGCAGAGTTCCCAACGTAGCCATGAACAACATGTGATTGGACCGAGAGTAGTCTGTGTATCCTATTTGATTCCTTAGTCATTGAGCTGGTCTCCTCTCTTAAAGCAAAATTTTTTTGAGTCTGCTTAAATTTGCCCGTTTAGAATCAGAATCAGTAGTTTTTCAGACCAAGAAAGTATCAATCTTTTGAGTTTTTGGTGAAGATGAGCTTATCTATGTGGTGTGCGGATGTAAGAAAGCCAACTATATTATTGAAATTGAATGGCAAACGAAATAAATAACCGAAAAGTCAGTGAGTTGATATTATCAAACTACTTAAAACTATCTCGAGGAGTTCATAAGGAATAAGATGGGTAAAATAGAGAACAAGACCATAGACATTGGTTATCCATTATACGGGGCCAAGTTTGTGGATAATCATACATTGGTTACAACAGGTGGTGGTGGTGAAGGTAATAATGGTATTCCAAATAAGCTAACAGCCGTATCTGTTGATTTCCAATCTGAAAACAAATTAAAACTATTGAATGATTTTGAAATTGAAGGTAAGAATGATTCACCAACTTCATTAGATCTAGCTGGTGAAACTTTATTGATTGGTTGTAATGAACATTCAGAAAATATTAAAAAGGGACAAAATAAACATCTACGTAAATTTACTTATTCTAAAGAAAAGCAATCAATAAGTTTCAATTCTAGTGTTGACGTCGAGAAAAGTGTTGATACGCTTGATTACCAAAAGGAAGTTTCAATTAGTAATGATGGTTCAATTGCTGCAGTTTTATCCTCCAAGATCCCAGGTTCAGTTAAAATTATTGATGTTGCAACATTAAAAACTATAAAGACTTTAACTCCTAAAGATGATGTTGAAATCACTGATATTAGTATCAGTCCAAATGGATCTAAAGTTGCTTATATTACAGAAAAATCATTAGTTATCACCAATACACAAAACGATGAAGAAAATTTAGTACATAATAGGTTTGCCCCATCTTATGATTTAACAAAAATAAAATTCATTTCTGAAACTGAGTTAGTTATTGGTATTAATTTAAAGCATAAGAGTGGTATTTTACTTTCACATGTTGTTATTAGAGAAGATGGTATCAAAGTTATAAAATCAAGAGTTATTAGTGAAAAAACCAAGAAGATTACATCATTAGATTCAACTGATTCTTTAGTTGCTGTAGCAGGTAATGATGGTTCAATATTAATTGTTGGTGTTGATCATTTTGATGTTTATAAAACATTGAAAAACATTCATTCATTTGCTATAACAACTGTTGTATTTTCACCAAATGGTAAATATTTAGCATCAACAAGTGCATCAAATACTTTAAATGTTATTGAAATTCCTGAAGATATTAGTAAATCATATTATTGGGTTTATGTAAATATATTGGTTGTTTTATTTGCTTATATTGTCTACTCATTAATTTCAAGAATCACACCTGAACAAAAGGAAAGAATTGATGATTTTATTAGATTTATGTTTGATGATCCACAAACTTATCAACAAGAAAAAGAAGAAAAAGCAAGTCAATTATCAAATCAACAACCTTTAATCCAAAGTTCAAGTGGGTCCGGTGAAATCGTTGGTGATGATCCAAATTTGAAAACTTTTTCAGATGGTGAATATGTTGTTGAAGTTGTTACAAATATTAAAGAAGGTGATATTGTAGAGGTATCTACAAGAACTTCTTGGAGAACTGAAACTTCTGTATACGAAGATACCGCTTCTACCTTGATTTAAGAAGAATGTTTGTAAAAACTGTTGTCTTTTTTGAATAAATAATTATGTATACCTATTTACAAAATTGTAGTTTGAGATCTAAGCGTTAAAGAATTGTTCTTGAGAACTTGTTTTTAATTCTGGGAATGATTCATCTGGATCATTGGTCTCTTGTACTTCATCATTACCCTTTAAATCAACATTAGTGTCGTTCTTTTCATCATCTTCTTCATCTTTATTATCTTTTTTAACTTTCAAAGCAGATTTCTTTGCTTGTGAAATTAATTGATTCCAACTATTTTTGTCTAATTGTTTATCATCACCACTATTATTTTTAAATTTTAAAGAATTTTCCCACTGAGATAATGATTTCCTTAAAATTTTAGGATTTTTAGGATTTATTGAATCACAATTTGCATTCCATAATATTAAATATTCATTATATCTTGCCTCCATTTGATTTCTTGTCCCAGTTACGGGAAGTTCTAATTTTGTTAATCTTTGCTTCAAAGCTGAATTTGAAAGTGATGAAAAATCTAACTTTGTTAACTTTTTAAGATCTGTCGTTGGTTCTTTTGGTTGGAAATGGAATGATATTGATGATGGTGCTGGTGAATTTTGATTTGATGTTGAAGATCTAGTTTGTAAATCTTGTTTCTTTTTCGGTGATGAGGGTGATAATGATGAGTTCGGTAATGATGAAGAATCATGCTCAGACTTTGGTGAGCATGTATCTATATGGGTTGTTTGTTCTAAAATATCCCTATGAAATATTTTTTGACATATTGGACATCTACTTTTATCTTTTCCTGGTTGTTTCTCTTTTTGTTTTTTGAATAATTGACCAATATTATTTGCCTCCGATTTTCTCTTTTTAGGTTCCTCAATTATAACAACATCATCGTCATCATCTATATTCTCTATAACTTCCACATCTTGTTCTTTAGATTCACTGTTTGATATTTGAGGTATCTCTTTGGGTATTTGTAAGTTTTCCAATAGATCAGGACGTAAATTCTTATAACTTAGTACAGTTTGTTCAAGTAGTACATTTCGACATAAATTTGATTCTCTAAGTTCTTTAGAACATATTGGACATTTTGGTGTATGGATTAGGTATTTCCTTATACAGACTGAACAGAATGTATGACCACAGTTTGTTAACATTGGAGCTGATAGAAATTCTTTACATATATGACATCTTAGTAATGAATCAATTTCAAATAATTTTGGAACTTTTGTATCTTTGAAATCTAAAGGATCTGTGATATTATTCAAATCACCAAGAATATTCATATTTGGATCACTATAGAGGGAATTTGAATATTTTGATCAAATTTGAATCTAACAATATGTAAGTTCTTTATGTCCTATGGTTTATGTTTGTTATTGATAATTTTTTTTTCACGTATACAATTTAACGCGATTTGGGCAATGGTTATGGACTCGGAACCATCGCGTCATAGACTCATACATCAACATTCATACAAATCATTTTTAAATTTTGAATCATCAGAATATTGGAGGTCGACAAAGGATTTCTTGTGTTCTTTATACCATATCAATGGAATATAAGATCACTTTGCTTGAGAATAAATGAAGAAAAAACTGCCATTTATAGCTCGTTTCTTCGAGAGGCAAGAGTCAAGACTGTATTTGCTATATTATCTTCAAGTTCAATATTAAGTTCGTAGATCTGAATTAAGAGCATCGAGGATTCCACTCTAGTGTGATTCTCCGTCGTGGATTGTAAGTATAACTATCATGTATAACAATTATTACAAGCATGTTTATTATGTAGTTCTATCATCTAGAGATCTAGCTGAGTAGGTTAATTGGATTAGATACTCATCAAGGTTAAGTTTTCAAATTTGATTAGATTTGAACAGCTATATAGAAATCTGCAAACGTTTTGAAAATGATTCGAGTTTTGTGGTACACGGTGCTACAAATTTGATTTCAATAATCAAGATTCCGGAAGCACCCCGTCTAATCATATTAAGCCAGTAGTTTGACACTAGGTCAGCTGAAACTTGACACACAATTAAATTGATACTTGACTACATTAATCAACTAAAATAGACATATGAATATGCTGAGACTTAAAACCACATCTTTAAATACCAAACGAGCTTAAGAATCAGCTACGAAGTATTAATGGTTTGGTTATCTGCTAATCGCATAGCTATTGGTTGTTCATGAATTAATGAACTAAATTGTGACACCACATTTTAGGTAGCTTAATTAAAGCACAAGGATTACTCCAATGCCCCAAATAGTTCTTTATGTTTCCATGACAGTGTAGATAAAACCAATCAAGGGACAAGTGTACAACTCTTTCGTGCAAAGTTCCCTGGATTCCCATACGAATATGAGTTCCGTGCGTCTCCAGGCATTTGATGGGTTCACTAAAGCTGGTTTGTGCATATCATCATAGTTTATGAAAGGTTCACTAACTTCACTTGCCTGTAAAACGCGAATTTGACTTGAAATTCTACAAATTCAAATTTTGAAAATTAAGCGCGTCGTGTTTGTTTACTTTTCGTTACGTAAGCCCCATAGCAAGGGAAAAAACTTCATCGCGTCTCAGTTTCACTTCAATTTGCCGCCTCAAATAAAGTACTTTTCCCTGCTCTTCAGAAGGATTGAAGATTGTTCTCTTACTCTTAACCAAACTCTTCTTCTTTAGGAAGACATCTCAACAATCAACAACGAACATTCAACAACAACCTTACACAAGACGTCACACTAGAACCCATCCGCTCTTTTCAATCATCAAGAAATCAAAAGTTTCCCAGTCTGATTTAATCCATTAGCTGTCACTTTTACTTGTGCAACTCCAAGTTGAACCATTAAGAAATTAAAGCATCAGTATTCATATTACTACACAGGTATCATTTTGAAAGATAAAAAAGATCATTCCAACACAGCGTTTTGGTTTAAGAATAAGGAAATTCATTTTATACGTATCCATTTGATCAAAAATTATTGTCAAAAGAGAATCTTCTGATATCATCCTTGGATTATAAAGATGCAATATAATCAAGATCTCAACTCAAATTTGATCAAATCTCTAACGTCTGTTCATTTACCTCCACCACCTTCATCCCATATGAATCAACAGTTTAGTATTCATCAACAGAATCATACACAGGTACAACATAATCAAACTCAACTGGGTACAAGTTTCATGGCGGTTCCAAATGAAATGGTGTTTAATGCGAAAATACCATTAGGTGTCACCTCAGATGTTAATACCAACACGTTTGAAATACAACAACAAACTTCATTGAAACCTCCACCAACAAGAAGAAGTTTAACAGCTGATGAATTATCACTACCGCTCACAACTCCACCACACACAGTTGCCAGATACGAAACTCGTCCTGCTAAAACTTCTGGTAGAAAAATTGATGATACTCCAACTTTGAATGCTGGTAGAGCTAAGAAGGCCGCTGCTGCTGCCGCTGCTGTTGCTGCTGCTCAGAATCCTTTATCACCTCAATATTCCTCTCCATCATCAGTTAATTTATCTTCGGATCCAGTGGTTCCAACATCTAAAAAAGCTTCCAAACCACCTCAACCATCATTTATTTCTAAGACTAAATCAAACGCTTCTACACAATCAGATGAACCATTTGTGATCCCAGCACCTGAAAATATGCCAGTTATTGTTCATGAATCAGATACTAAACCTCCATATTCATATGCTACATTGATTGGTATGGCTATTTTAAGAGGTGAAGGTAGAAAGTTAACTTTATCACAAATATATTCATGGATATCATCAACATTCAAATATTATCGTCGTAATGATGTTGGCTGGCAAAATTCCATTAGACATAATTTATCATTAAATAAGGCATTTATTAAAACTGATAAATCATCAGATGGGAAAGGTCATTATTGGGAAATTGTTAAAGGTCATGAAATTCAATTTGTACGAGGTAAAAATGGTAAGAAAACTTTTACCAATATACAGTTTGAAGCTTCCAAATCAACACCTGCTCCAAAACCTGAAAAATTACAAGAACCTGTTCAAACAAACCCTTCAACAAATAAAAGACTGTCTTCAGATACGAAATCATTCAGAATGAATAACGGTGGTCTTTCTGATAAAGATGATAGTGATTTTGAATCAGTTGATGAAGATGAATCAGAAACTGATGAAATTTCTAAAACCCCAAAATCTCAAATAAGGTCATTACAACCTGATACTGAAGAAAGACCATCGCTAAAGAAGTCACATACTGCAATTGGTCTGCAAAGGTTTTCATTACCGAGATCTAAACATTCGTTAGAGACTGACGACGAACAAGAAGATGAAGAAGATGAAGAAACATATTCAGAAAATGATCATGACTCAACTGTTCCAAGAAAGAAATTTCAAACTAAACCAGTGTCATTAGGTGCTGGATCACTGAAAAATATCCCATCTTTACAAGCTCCAGATACTACATGGGCAGCTTCAGCAGGTGGTGATCGTGTTATTTTTGGTCAAACCAAACCTGAAATAAATATTGAATCTCCAAGAAATAATATTGAATTACCATTACCATATACATCATCATTTAGTTGTAATACTAATTTTGATTTATCACCACTGAAACGTCAAGAAACTGGTCCTTTATTAGAACCTTTGACACCATCATCAAGATTAACATCTTTCAATACAACAACATCTGTTACAACAGCTCCAACAAGTGTTTCAAATTCACAACAATCTTCACATCAATCACATCCAAGTCATGTACATTTCAATAATGACTCCAATAACAACACACATCAAACACTATTACCATCATTTGCAAGCACAGTAGCTAAAACACCACTGAGAAGTACTACAAATAATCATTCTGGCTTAACAAATAGTGGAATTGTTGGATCTGCTCAGGCTAATCATTTTTATAATTTCATTAAAACTCCAACGGCTAAACTAAGAACACCAAATTCCAATTCAATAATGAGAAAGTTTTGGAATTCACCATCTTTTATTGATGATTTTTATACATCACCAAGTATACCAAGAAATAGTGATGATGATTATCATAAATCATTTTATGGTTCACCAAATAAGAAGTCAAATGATAAGAAAAATGCTTATTATGAAAATTCAGGTACATTTGGTTTTTCAGATTTATTTGGTGTTGATATTTGTTCTGTTGTTAAAAGAGCTGTTGAAAGTGTCAATGAAAAACCTGAAGAAGAACATGAAAAACATAGTTCAAGTACAATTGATCAAAATGGTTCAACAACAGATGATGATTTTGAAGGTAACACTACAGTATGATTTCTACATTTCAATCTTGGATTAGTTTCAGTTTTGTAATATCATTAATGTCATACACACAAACAACAAAAGAAGAAGAAGATTTATAAGAGACGGTTTTTAATGAGTTTATACATAGTTTTTGAGGAATTTTGAAGTTATTATTTTATTTTTACATTTTACATGCAATAGTTTGAGAAGGAATACAAGAGGTAATTTTTATTAGTTTTTTTATTATTATTATTATTTTTTATTTTGGTTTTATTGATCTTAGTTTTGGGTTTTTATTTTTATTTAGTTTTTTACTTCACATTCATTTCAATTTTTTAAAGGTTTTTATTCCTAGTTCTACAAGATGGTTTTAATTTTAATTACTGTTCATTAGGTGTATTAGTACTTTTGTTATATCTAAATTAATATCACGTTAGTAATTTGCAATTTATTAAATCACAAACCTTGTAGTTCATTGATCAACCAAAACTTGAACATTAATAAACCCATATGAATGTTAATCATTTCATAAATAGCTGACGCTAACCACTAACCACACTCCTTAAGCCTGTATAACTAGAATCTTTCTAAAATGCAGATCTGAATAATGCAAATATAAATTTCTTATTTGGCAAATGCTTTGAAGCTCCCAGAATCAGTGGCAAAATGATAAAACCTATATTTAAAAAGATCAATCAGTACTAGCACAACCACGACAACCACAATTAACACATTGTGTAAACTTGATTTTTTCATTTTTCTCCAAAGTAGCTCTTGGAACACGACAAATACAAGTCCCACCATTATTACTTTCATTCCCTTGGATACATTTAACACAACAAAGATGTTCATAACCTTGTTTTTTCCATTTGGCAATTAAATTAGCATTAATTTTCCTATTTTTTAAAACCCAATCATATAAATCTTTTGATATAACTTTTTTTTTATAATACATTTCATAAATATATCTTGATCTTTGATGGCTTATTCTGAAAATATCCCATAATGCTTCATTTTTCTTACCTGTTTTAGTTAATGCTTTTGATTGAACATCTTTCATTTTATCATCAAATTCATCTAATGTTGGTTTGATTGAATCATAACCTCCTGGTGCTTTCTTACTCTTTGTACTCCTTATCTTTGGCATTTTGAAAAATTTTATAATAAATCTCCAAGATGTAAATAAACATGTATAGAAAAATAACAAAACTACAAAAAAAAAATCTATTGAACTGTGTCCCCAACCGAAAGTTCTCAAAAATTTAAAGCTACGACACCAGCAGGATTTGAACCTGCGCGGGCAGAGCCCAAGAGATTACTAGTGTTATCTAGTGATAGATAATTTCGAGTCTCCCGCCTTAACCACTCGGCCATAGTATCCGTAATCATCGAAATTTGGGGCGTAGGACGCTCATGTTCTGCTAGCAGACATGCTAAAATACCACCCAGGGCGCCGAAATTTGATTATTTTGAGTAGTAAGTGACATTTGAAGTTTTAGGTAAACCCTACATATACACTGAGACAGGTTTGATCTTCTTTGGACTGGAGGTTGGCGAGTTATAACTCTTTGAAGCTTTTGGTATAACCGCAGAACGGTATGTAAAGATGCCGAAATCAGACATGGTGCAATGGGTTTTAATATTTTTAGGCCAAAACGTCGTTATAAAGAGGTAATATGGCGTTTATTATAATGCAGATATGTTGATGTATCGATTTAAATAGGGACTGGCTAAGCTTTTTAAGGTGCACACGTTTTTTCTTGTCGTATTAACGTGTAGATAAGTAGGTATACAAAACTGTCTAAGAGCGAGTCGACTGAAGTGTGCTACTCATATTAAGAAACTTCATATTACATTACGATGTGCAATTAAATAAATAATATATATAGTTTATAAAAATTAGTAATTAATTAACATGATCACTATGAAGACCAAGTATTAAGATTATTAAGTAATGAAACATTAAATTAAAAAAAATTAGTAGACATATCCGTCTGTCGTCAAGCGTAAGTCATTAGTTATTTCAGATTCAATTGATTTTGTAGTTTTGATAAAAGTCATAAATGTGCCCAAATGTATAGTGTATAATTCATGAAATAGTTATCATTAAAATCCAATAGATTTTCTGAGCACGAATGATATGTATAGATAATTCAAACCAGGAGCAAACATTGTTTTCATCTTAATAGTATTATAAATGTGTAATAAATGATTGTGTGTTCTTTAGATTCTCTCAAATAGTTTTGTATTCATTTAAATTTGTCTTTTGCTTTGTAACCAATATTTCCAAACCATTAAAAGCATTTCCCAACCCATTACTAAAGCAACAATACCAACATTAACGTTCAATATGAACATACTAGTTAATCCTCTATATTCTAAAGCTTCAACAATTTGATCAGTACTTTGCATAAAGATGAAACCACCACAGATTAAAGCAAATGATGTGATTAATTCTGTGAATGGTCTAGCTGGAGTTAAATTCTTATTTGGAACCAGCATTAATAAAATGAATGTTAATAATCTGAAGAATGAACCAAATGATAAAAGATAACCCCATTGCATATGAATCAAAGTTGATGTTTCTGAAGCTTGAGCATGTTGAGACATTAAAATACCAGTCCAAAAGATTGTGAAGACTGGAAATGGATTTGGTGAATATCCTGGTGAGCCTGCATGTATAGCTGCTGGATTAATACTAGTATTTGACAAAACTTGATTGAATCTCCATTCTGACAAAACATGTTCAGTTATCAATCCACATAACCCACTACCAATAAACATGAATGCAATTGATGCATGTTGTAAATCTTTGGCAGTCCATGTACCATCTTCAGAAGCTAAATGCTCTAAGAAAACATTTGTTGTACCATAAAAAAAAATCAAGAAACTTTCATAAAATTCCATTGTAACCATTCCATGTGGAGTCCATCTATACCAGAAAGAATTTGTATCAACTTGGCTTTTGAACACAACAGCTTTATTCCAAGCTAAACCTGATTTTGATAATGCACCACAGTAACGAGCTAATGAGAAAAGACCAAGTAGAACGAAAACACCACCTTTGATAAAATGTGCTAATAAATTGAAAACTTTTGTACCTTGACCCATCAAATTACCAACACAAGTACCGACACCAACATATACAAGCATGTAACCTAATAGGGGCAAATTAGTTAATGTGAACAAGAATGAAATCAAATAGTGGAATTTATGAGAAGCTTTTTGAATAATATCAGAACCAAATACCTTATTTAAATATTGATCTCTCTTACTCATTGTTGTTGATTGTTTCAGTGGAGTTGGTTTGTAGATCTTCTGAAATTCAGCTTCAGCTTCTTGATCAGTTGCTATGTTATCAAGATCCAATGAGTCTTTATCACGGAAATATGTTGGAGTTTGTGAACTATCGCGGTTTTCAATCGAGTCTTTATATCTATGAGATCTATCTGAATTTGAGTCAATTAAGGTAGATGGTGAACGTGACCCCTCGGTAGCCAATCTTTCTAAATCAATATTTGAACTATCATTTCTTGAATGTGAAGAGCCACTCATATCACGTAATGGAACAAAAGAATGGTTGAACTCTTCTTCATCTGCATCTAAACCTGTTACCCATTTGGATGCTGAATATAAAACAGCCAATACAAAATGTGTTATTAAAGCAAATAAAAAGATCCAAGACATTTTAGCATATGCGTTCCCTGGATATAAATCTGGTGCACTTGAGCTGAAAACCTTCAAACTGATCAATGATACCAACATAGTTACGAAGTTGACCAAAAGCACTGGTAAATACCATTTAGATTTAACATTGTTCAAAATCAAAGCAATAGGATAAATCACAACTAATGAACCAAGCAATGTGGCAATATGAACCCATAAAGCAGATTTATTTGGTGAGTCAATAGTGAAATAAGTTGTTGTGTTGTAGCTTTCCCAGTAAAGTCTTTCTGCTGGAGTCAAAGTGGTGTTCAAGATTGGTAAACCATGGTGATGTTTCATTTCATGAGCGGTTGGCTGAATTGTCGATAATTCTGAAGTATTGGTAGCCATCATACCCCCAGCGGTTCCACTATGCTCATCATCCCCCATATGATCGTGATCCACGTCCATACCCATCACGGCGGTTATTAATAACAATGACCAGCTAAGCTGGTTCAGTAAAATCTTTGAAGGCCTCATTAGGTTAAGATTGAATTGTACTTTCTATTGAATATGATATGATATAGCTGATGCTGATCTTTATGTTGAAGCTCTAATCCTATACTATTTCCCGATAATAATTAGAGCTCTGGTATAGATTCTTGATTGTTTTTGATGATTGACTGATTGTAAAGATTTGTAATGTGTCAAATGATCAAACTTTCTTAGGGCGCTTTCTTTTATATATTGAAAAAGGGACAACTCTGACCTCGTAGTTAGTGAAATGATAAATCGGACCACAATTGAATAAGTAGATTGGTGGCAATTGGTGTATTTAAATAAGAACGGAAGGTTTATAAAGATTCTCTATTAAAAAAAGCCCACCAAGAGTATTTCCAGCAAAACCGAATTATATAAGCGGCCTGTCGGTTAAAATACAACTGAAAAAAACTTTTTAAGCTGATTAATTTCCCTTTTCAGAATAATTGTATGCAAGTTTTTGGCATAAAAACGTATCGGTTTTACAGGGTCAAGACTCAAAAATGTTACAAATTGGCTCAAGCGTAAATTTTAACTTAGAGTGATCTCGTATGATTTCTGCTAATCATATTCACCATATCTATGATTATACATTGCTAGGTTGAGTTAATTGATTATTCTACGGTATGTCACATTTTTTGTAATGATTTTGATTTGTCGTGAGTCGTGACTCGTTAGTGTTACCGCAATTACCGCTTGACTCTTGAGGTACATAATTAAAGTCTAAAAAGATTTCTATGGAAAAATATGCCCCCTACCGTACAGATCCCGTGATTTTTAATACAGTTATGCGAAACTTTAGATAGCTTTTCTATTATGGAAATGTAGCTGAATGTAACCTCATATATTTAGTCTTGAGTCTTGCCAAAATATTTTGAAAATGTGTCATTATTTATGAACTAATTGTTAACGATCCATATGGTGTAGAAGTGTTATTTAGCATTAAGGCTATATTGGAGTTATGGATGGAATACTACGGGGTTTGAAACTTTAGATCAATCTAGCTGGATGAATATGATCAGCCTTTCCTCATGATTCTTGGATAAACAGCTAGATGGCTGATAAAGCTAGCTGCTGATTGAAATAAACTTTGATCACGCGTAAACTTTAATTACAAGTTGATGTGATTCAGCGAGAACAGTCGGAATACTAGCGATAGATATATCGTACGTCGCGTATTAGCAAATATTAACAATATAACATATGTCAATGTAGCTCCTGTAGCTACCTATAAACTGAGCATCGGTTTGTAAATATTATGACATAGGGTCAGTAGTCAGTGATTCATATAAAAATACGCCATTTACCTAGGGTAGTCACTGGTCAGTTCTTATTCTAGAATTCTTGTATTGCGAGGTACATATCCAACGGATCTTGGGGCAGATTCCATTTCCGAAAGCCACAAAGCAATCAACTAAAGGAAGTTTGAACCATCAAGAAAATCACAGATCAATTATCGGTGATTATAAATACATTCATATGGGTGATTTATACAAAATTGAGGTGTTTCTGCGCTCACGCTCTAATATTTGTCACATATATAGATTGATTTAAACATAGTTACTGTAATGGGCCTAATTTCCATACCGCGAAAATATAAACCACAAACCACAAACACAAAGTTTTATATTAGGCATCATCAAATACCTTGAACTAACCAAAATGAAGAGCAACTCTATAGAAGATGAGATGCCTTTGTATGAGAACATACACTCCCTGTGTCAATGAATACCTTTAAGTTACTTCACATTAGCGTTCTGGAAGACTTTTCGTTGTGATATTCAAGATCAAAGTTTACAAATATTTGTGTTTGCGGAATTGGTTAAAGTTTCCAAATCAAAACATCAAAACATCAAACTCTGGCGGCTAATCAAGATTGTTCAAATTCAAATATTCCAAACAATTTATTTATCTTGTTTCGATGTTTTCCTTCTTTATCATTACAGAACCATCGATTCAATCTAGTCATCAGTACGGTTGGTACAAGGAAGATGGGAAATCAATCTGTCCAGAAGGAGAAGGTTGTTGATAGCACTTCGAGCAGTAGTGTTGATGATGATGAGTTCCACAACCTGGATACTGCAAGCGCTGGCT